TCTGTCTCCGTCCTACGAGAGTAATAGAGATTTTATCAAGTCTTATTTACCTTGTCATGTCTTTTTTTTATTATTTAGTGCTCTCATTGACTGTGAACCTCATATGCATTCCTCCAAAGGAGTTCATTAAACGTATCCAGATGTGTTTAGTGATATTAACCTAGTGTTGAGATTTCTCTATCAACGTCCCTCAGGAGTGATAGATTTCATAAGTCCTTATCCTCTTTTCCAGGTCTTGCCATGATATCGTACTCTCTTCGACTTTGATCTTCATTTGCATCTAATTTGTTTCTCATGTTCATTTTCCTGGTGTTTTTAGGGATGTGGTAATGGTCAATGGTTATTTCATTCTGTTGCCAAAGTATGACAACATAACCGTCAATTTGCTTTTGTTTGTCGGTTGATCATGCAGTTAGCTTAGTCCCAAAACTCCAAGGATCTTTCCTTTCTTGATTGGTGTGTCTTAGCAGTCCATGACTTTACTTCTACAGCTTTTTTGATATTGACCTGTCTTTATTACTACGTTTTTTGATCCTCTTCTTGGTTAGACTTTGGTAAACAAAACTAAAGGTTCATGAATATAAGACACACGCATGAGATTGAACCTATAAAATATTGTTACAAATGCAGTACGCCATAAATGGAACAAAATGGAAATCTAAACTATATGTATTCTGAACTATTGCTGAAACAGTCTCCGTACACGTAAGATATTGCTTTCTATAGTCATTCATAGACCTTAATCTGGAGGTTTTCATCTGTGTTGAATGCATGAGGTACATATTATTGTTTTCTATCTCCATATGATCTCATTCAATCGAATTTTCTTCCGTCGCTCTGGTTTCCCTGAACGTTCGTGTCAATTCTAGTAGCCATTCTCATTGTTATGACTGCCAGCCCAATATCTTACGCATTTGAACATTGCTTGTTGTTTTCGCCATAGTCCCGTATATCTGTTGCTAAACCGAAATCTTTTGCAGTCAGCAATTTGACTTCCCGCTCAGATTGCACTACTGTAGCTGCTTCCAGGAACACACCCGCAGTCAAGGAATGCGTTACATGCCTTGTCATCAATCGTTGACCACTACAACCTATCCTGTCCTGGATGTTGGATGCCTGTGTTGCCTCAGGTGAGTGATGCACTTCCTGACTTGTCCTTTTGTCTCACCCGACTGTTCTGCGAGGTCCCTGTTTCATAACAAGTTTACACTCTGTACGCCCCAATCAATTGTTTTAAAAGCAGAGATAGTCCGTTATTTCGGACTACATTCTGTAAGTACCTGATGTTTCCAAACTCCCCTAATCGATGTTTTTTTTCAGATTTGAGCTACAGTTGACCTCTAGTTATTGTAACCTGTATGTTTACGCTGTATTATACGGAAAACCTTTCTCGAATCCTTATAAGATTAACCATACACAATTATAGATGTAATATGGGTCATTGACGTTGAAAACACAATATAGATAATATAGCTAATTTCACTTTGACGATGACGAATGATTGAATGCGTTTTGTTTGAAACGGAAGTGTCATTCATTGAAGCATTTTAAACAAAGACGGACCTTTCAAGCGTATGCGTCCACTAAACCTGAAAAATCGCAGAGAGGAGGTTGTTCTCCCTTGGCTCCATACTGGTCATACTTATCTCACTAAAGCGTTTCCACTGAAACGGGGAGATCGATGCACCTACATGCCACGAAAGTGACTCCTTCCTTATAACGGAGCATTTTAAATATTTGTATTATATATATGTATGTGTCATAACTGCTTGAAAACATAAAACCCTTTTTTTTAGTTCCGTCCATTTGGAGGCATTGTTAAACTATGTTATACGTGTATACTCGGATGTCTTGAACCGATGACTCTTCTCAATGGAACCTATATATCACCTCATTGCATATATTTCAAATATTTGTTTTCATTCCTTTGTCCATTTTAATTATTTATGCCTATCCTGCTGATAATTAAAAATAAATATAAGATTCATTTAATTTTTGTTTTGTGAAATGGTCATTTCATGTTATAACGTGTAATTAACGCAACAAAACCTAATCTGGCATAAAGGTACTGTATACCGCGAAATTTTTGATGCAATTTAATTCCCCTTTTTGTAATGGGGCTGATTTATCTCTTGGACACCAAACATCAGTGACCAAAAAACATAAAAAAAAAAAAAAGAAATTAAATGAGAAAATTTAACTTGATATTGGGCGAAGATGGACTTTAACGTCAAAAAGCGAAAATTTTGAGGGCGAAAAGTTATCTTTAAACAGTATATGTATATATTCCTTTAGTATATTGTGCATCATTTTACAGTTTCAGTAGAACAAATACTTGACGTATCAACTAGGTCGCGTTAGCGAAAACTATACAAAACAGCTGCAGTCCTTGCTTGCTTTTGTTTATCGTAACTTGACCATCAACTATGTTCTGAACAATTAAAAACTAATGTGATTTTTTTCTTTTGTCAGAGCGATGTCGGAGACACCTAAGCGACAGGTCCCATTACCGAAACATAAGGTAGGCGTTCAAGGATCGTCAAAGTATCGTGCCTATCTAACGTCACAACGGAGGCGAAGTATCCTTAATTTCTTAAAACAAGCTCACCTTGACTGATTCTAAGGGGCGAGGCATGCAGCATATTACATGTACATGTAGGTAAAAAGCGATCGAGCCGTTTATTGAACGATCTCTAGTTTTAAATTAATTTGTAGACAAAACATCTTTGTAATACTACTTAGTGAGTTAAACTGTATGGTTCACAGGGAGAAAAGTATCAGCATCCTCGCTATTGGAACTTTAATTTTAACTTACTGAACTTTAGCAAATATAAATATAATTGATGTTTTATACATCATTTTATAATTAACAACTCAAAACAGCGAATTAACTTGTGTCCCCATTTTGCAAATTGAACGTTAATTACATATGTTGCGTAGCATTGACTGATAAGAAAAACAGACGTTTCATAATCTGTATATTAATTAACAAAGCAGGGTCAAAGTCGGTTAATGGATAAAATCTAGTCAATTTATTTATCAAATAAAAAACAAGAGTAGCACATATGAAATCAAAACAATTGTTATATATATATATAACCAGTGTATGGCATAATTATGAGTAAAGATTGTCTCTATATCTTTATAAAAATGACGACAAAAATAATCATTAAAATCATTACGGATTAATTCTACAAACTACAATGAGTGAGTATTCTTTGACACTTTTGATCTTTTTGTTGTATGTATGCATGCAAAAATATAAAGTTACAAGCATCTTTAAAACTAACACATATGTATCTTTATACATATATTGATTTTGATTAAACAGGAATATGTCCTAAAACAAATTAATGTATGTATTTTAAAAGCAGATTCAAAAATATATAAAATCATTAAATAAGTAATAGAAAATAGGTACCTTGCAGTTTAACATGTTACCCTCTGGTTTTCTCATATGGGTTAAATGTTTCCCTCTAGTTGTGTCTTAGATTTTATTTGTTACCCTCTAGCTGTCTCCGAGTTTTTACATGTTACCTTATAGTTACCCTCAGGTTGTCTCCTAAGTTTTATATATTATCCTCTAGTTATCTCTTAGGTTTTAAATGTTACCCTCTAGTTGTCACATAAGTTTTATGTTACCTTCTAGTTGTATCATAGGTTTAATATGCTAACTTCTAGCTGTCCCCTAGGTTTTACATGTTACCCTCTAGTTGGCTGCTATGTTTTATGTGTTACCCTCTAGTTGTCTGCTATGTTTTACATGTTACCCTCTAGCTGTCTTCTATGTTTTATGTGTTACCCTCTAGTAGTCTACTATGTTTTATATATTACCCTTTAGTTGTCTCCTAGGTTTAATATCTTTCCCTCTAGTTGTCTCCAATGTTTTATGTGTTACCAGCTTGTTGTATCCTAGGTTTTATTTGTTAACTTCTAGCTGTCCCCTAGGTTTTACATGTTACCCTCTAGCTGTCTTCTATGTTGTATGTGTTACCCTCTAGTTGTCTCCTAGGTTTAATATATTACCCTTTAGTTGTCTCCTAGGTTTAATATATTTCCCTCTAGTTGTCTCCAAGGTTTTATTTCTTACCCTCTAGTTGTATCATAGGTTTTATTTGTTAACTTCTAGTTGTCTCCTAGGTTTCATATATTTCCCTCTAGTTGTCTGCTATGTTTTATGTGTTACCCTCTAGTTGTCTCCTATGTTTTATTTATTACCCTCTAGTTGTATCCTAGATTCTACAGGTTACCCTCTAGTTGTCTTCTAGATTTTATATATTATCATCTTTTGTACACCTAAAGTTGTCACCTATGCTTAACATACAGATAGGCACCACCAGAGGCTATAGTTAATAGTTATAATGCACTTTTAAATATTACCTGTACACCGATTGGTATAAACACAAAAATCACAGATAAGCCATTCTCTGATATTTCAAAATGATATGTTGAACAAATATGAACAGACGATCATATTTAATATATATCACATACATGTACGTAAAATTATACACATTTTCTTTCAATTCAAACGCCTTTCTAACCACATCATAAATGAAACACATTTATTTTATATTTCACATTACATCATAAGGCACATTAAAACAGGAATTTCTTGTCAATCCATCCGTCACTATTGTGATGCATGTCATACCGGATTTAGTGTTTTAAAGACGTGGCTCAGATTATGCTTGTTTTGATTTACTTTGTAAATCTTGGCACATTATTTTCTTTATCTCTGAAAATGACAATACGATCTGAAACAGAAAAATATACAACATTTTAAATTTTACTGAAATTGGAATTGTAAGGAAAATAAATACGTAAACTATTCTTATAAACTCTTTTTATGACATGTTTTAAAGAGTAAAAAGTTAACGAGTTGATGAGTTTTATATAGTAGGATCCACGCTGAACAATGTACACATCTCTCATAGAATACATGTATATGTATATTCTATGATAAAACAAAAATATCAGAAGTCATATGTAACATTTTCGGAAACAAACAAAATAATTCATCTATTAAAATGATAAAAATAAACTCTGATACAAATAAAATATGCTCCCATGCAGACGATAGGAATCTATGGGCTTCGAGAGAGATTGCCTCTAATAATACTATAATTTTACAAAGTAAAATAGAGGTCATGTTATCTATCAACAGTACATTCCAACACTGGACACAGTGTCTACATCTCTCAGCGTGAAATGAAAATGAGTATTACGAAAAAGGATATGGCACAATGAATGAAATTGATCATTTATATTATATGGCACAGGTGTGAAAAGCTGCGAAATACATACAGTCAATAGACTCAGGATAAATTTTATAATTGTAAACTTATTAGTCAATATAAAGTGTAAAAGGGCAAGGTCCAATAGCATTAAGTATCTGGAAAAAGGCACATCTCAAATGGTTTCATAAACTATACTATAAGGTTTTTAGTATTGAACTGCACTCTTGAAAACTAGGAGATTTAGTTATTGCATAACCTAAATAATTAACTCGTAAAAGTTTTGATATGGATAAAAATAGAAAAACAAACTTACAAACAAACAAAACAATACCGAACTGAAACGTGAAAAAAAAATTGTAAAATTACGATATGGATAAGTTCTCAAAACTAATTAATTAATAAAACGTGGATAGGACGGCAAATTTTCATGATTAAATAATTGTAAAATAATTATAAAAGTGTTTAACTATTTTACAACACAAAAATACAATACCGCAACCACAAGATATGTTAAATATAAACCATGATCCTAAAACGACAACGTCTACTAATGAAATGAAAGATAACATATTTATCTTTAAATGATATTAAAATTATAGGTAATATTTTGTGGATCATTTGGTAGTGAAAATAAAACAGTAACAGTACACTTCAGATAAGTATATCCCCAGACATACTTTTAAACTAATAGGTGCTAGTTGTTCTTCTCCAGTTCTGTCTGTAGATGGAGCAAATAAAGCTGGACCAGTACAGGAAAATGTAGTAAAACGACTTGCAATTTGAGTATTATATTTAAACAATTCAATCAGGCCCAGCATTTGATATGTGTTTGTAAAGTAACTTTCCTGTGAATAAAAACATGAAATATTGCCAATTGTCTGGGTCAAACATATCATAAATGTTATTACATGCAAATTCAGTGTATAAAAACATGCTCATATGACGTCCTAATGAACTCATGGCCTGATTGCAAACAACAACATTTTCATTTAGTATTTATCTTGCGTCTCTTAAGTAGATATAAAGACATACAATTGTTATTTATTTAGAAATAAAATGGTTTAACAATAGGACGGATACCGCTCACAGACTTTAAAAACTCATTACACTATTAAAAATATTTTGAAAAAACAAACATAAGAAACAATAATTTTCAATAGTTGTAAAGCCTGCGTATGTCTTATGTCATTAATGCATACAAAATAATAGTACTATACAATAAAATAACAATGAGACGGATAGAATACAATATTCTAAAACATTGATTTGAGAATGGCATTTCTTTAAGGAGTAACCAAATAAGAAACAATTTACACTGCATTTGCTTAACTTCTCTGCTAAATGTGTAAATAATGATAAATATATAATATAGTAAAATCACTACATTAAAAGTTGAACTATACACTTAAATCAGCCTGATATACATGTACATAAAACCATTAATACAAAAACTACACAACGAAAATGTTATAATGTATAACCATAGGATGTATCATCACAGTGTTGATAAGATAATTGTATAAACACAATATCATATCTCATTCATTGAAATCTTTCAAAAAATAACAATAATCTTTTAGTTGATATTGAATGTTGATATCTTTTCTCTTTGTTTTCGATGATACATCTCATGGATCAAGGACAACAATGAATGTCAATAATCTGTTCTTTCAGTCATTGAACAATATTAATCATCTCATTACATAAAACTTATGTACATGCACTTCAACCGTCAATTGTCTGATAAAGGTGACTACGTACACGTCATACAAACTATCGAAACATTACACATAAATGTCTCAATGGTTGTACTATAGGAACCTTTTTGCAAAAATAGTTCAGACAATCTAGTTCCAAAAGTTGCAGGAAAAATCAGGTTTTTTCTTTTCTACACAGTCCTCCCAGTTCAACAGCAAGAGAGCTAAAGAAGCACACACGAGGACGACTTTTCATTTGTTTGACTCGCTTGAGTCGGAGCAGCTTGTCTCGGTGCATGCTGCATGTGTGGTTGCGCTTGTCCATACATTTGTTGCTGTGGTTGGACTTGTCTGTGTCCGTATGGTTGCTGTTGAGTGTTTTGTTGTTGATGTCCATAGTGCTGTAGTTGAGAATATGGTTGTGATTGCGGTTGGGCAAGCTGCGAAGCTGGTTGTGACTTGGCAGAATGGTGGTTGTATGTGTAAGGTGGGGGTTGCGCTTGGGTTTGTGCAGTTTGTGATTGCTCTGAATACTGAATGGGTGGTGGGGGTGGCACATACTCTTGATCCGATTCCTTTTTAACTGCTGTTCGTGGTTCTACTTTCTGCCCAGGGGTTTCTTTTGCCCCCTTTTTCTTTGTATCCTCAAGATATCCAATTGTATTAGGAACATTTTCCGTGATCTTGGCAAGGAGTTCATCAAATTTATTTCCCGTCCAAGTCATCTGGACTTCTTCATCTCGGTAGAAATTGATGAACAGAAGCTGTGTGAAGACCATGCTCATAGGCCCACTAGGTGGCCAATCCATCTTTTCCAACAAGAGAGGGACCACAGGCTTCTTCAGGGAATCTGCCAAACTTACCTCTCTTCGGCAATTGGCTGAAACTGCATACTTGCTGGTCACACAAGAAAGAACAATCTTACAGCCTCGGACACCTTGGTCAATCTTGTCATAGAGGGAGTCCCCGCCTCCCATCTGGTAGATATCCATCCAGCAGGTTAAACCGAGCTCACAGAGTCTCTTGTAGAGCTGCTTGATCTGCGTCTGTTTACCCCACTGGTACGACAGAAACACGTCTGGAGATTTACCTTCCGATTCCTACAAAAACAAGACACCATTTCTATAAAATGTACCTGCAAAATCCCCGCAGATACGTTTTCAGAGAAACAGAAACAGGAAAACACATTCAAACAGTTTTTAGTTGTTTCGAATTCTCCCCCCCCCCCCCCTTATAGTTTGTCTCAACGCACGTATTCTTATCGTGAGTGTAAACTTGTAATGTACCTTTCCCCCAGCTGTGGTGGCTGTACTCTGTCCTCCAGTGTCCTGTGGTTTCTTGGTAATTTTGATTTCCTCTGCCACAGGAACCCACCAGTCTTTGTACTCTGCATGTACGTAAATAATGATGTTATCTCATCAATGAAAGAGTAAAATGTTGGATCCTTTGTTCCAAAAACTACTGACTAAAAGCACCATTTAAGCACTATTACGTTAATAATTCATCAAGAAATAATTCATTTTCTTCGATGCTTTTTGAGTTTTTATTTCCTTTTTTCTTTAAGTTTTGTTTGGGTTTTTTGTTTTGCGCCCTTGCAGCAGCTTAGTTCATTTGTGGAAGGGTACCTAGTTAGTCGCAGCTGAAAGGAATAGGGAAAAGCAAGAGCACTGGTAGGGAAAAACCAGAAAAAAAGTGTTGTAATAGGGGCAGTAGATAAATTTTAGTTTTGTTCTCTTAGCAACAGACACAGAAAATACCGCCTGATACTGCGATAGTATGAGCTATGATATATGAGGTATTTTCTTTACATTGCAGTAAGATTATCTTATTAATCTTTTCATAGGAAGACGTAGCATATTTAGATAATGATTACAACGAAACTGCAATATGTACACAACATACAGAAGAGAACATGATAGATAAGTAGTATGAACTACAACTGACCTTTGGTAATGAGGGATTCATCTGGCATGGTTTTGTACATATTGAGTTGCATCAGAAGTTCCTGCAACTTTGGAACCGGCCAGTAACGTTGGTCCTTGGTTTCTTCCCCTTTTCGCTGGAAGAACCTTACAAATAGGTACTCGCTGAAGATGGGCCCCATAGAGCCCTGAGGAGGCCAGCCCATTTTCTCCATCAGGAGGGGGATCATGGGCTTCCCAAGGTTGACAGACAGGTTCACCTAATCAAAACAACGTGTTTACATACAGTACCGCTGTATTTATGAACTTTTTTTTTCATAAGTAGGATTTAATCATCAAATTTTTTTTGAAACTGCATCAAATATTTCAATCAACTGATTCAGACTGAGGATCGTCACTAACCTCTCTGTTACAGTTGGGAGATTTTGCGTACTTCTCCGACACACAACATATGATGACCTTAGCCCCTCTGATTCCATTGTCAATCTTCTCAAACAGTTTATCCCCGCCTCCCATTTGTCCAATATCCAACCAGCATTCATAGCCGGCCATGAGGAGGTGTTGCCTTAGTAACTTGACCTCGTTCTGGTGACCCCATTGGTAGCTAAGGAAGATCGGAGGAGGTTTGGTGTACTCTTGAGCCTCCTCCACAACATCCTCTAAATTGTAGTAAAATAAGTCGGGTAAATATTAAAATTTTCACTAAAGTTTTAGCTAAGACAGTACTTATCATTTAATTATAAGTCAACATAGCTAACTCGAAAGAAACAAGAGGCCGAAAGAGGTTTATCTTCCACTTGTTTCTATTGTTACCTCAACCAAGATACTTGTGACCATGGTGTCCATCTGGACCCCAAAAAATTAAGTAACAGTTGTTAGGAGCAATAACAGAAACGTGTTTACGGCTATTAATTTAATAAAAGGACATACAGATCTTTTTGGATTTCTAAATCAACCACAAAACTACTCTTTTTCAAGATCATGAAATCATTTTTCAGATCCAGTCTGGTTGCTCTTGACCAGATGGAACTTGACACTAGATAAACTAAGCATAAGTGTCCTTATGAAAATGATGCAAACAGCAACCATGTGATAGACTGGGATGGGGCCAGCATAATGGATAGGGAGGAGAGCTAAGCATTAGGCAATCTAGTTCAATATTTGGTCATAAACAGAGACGGGAGGGTGTACAGATTCAATCGCCGCCTGAGAGTCTTGAGGAAGACCTCAGTGGTGGTCAAAACTGTTAAGTGGGTAAATTGTTAACGTTACATGAAAGAATATCGAATTTCAAGTGAAAAATAAATTGAAAACGCCTCTTTATATCACAGAAGAAGGCATCTTTCATTATTAAGGAGTTCGAAAAATAAAAATATACAGCAAATGCCACGAGCTTAACACTAAGTTTTGTTAAATTCAGTTCAATTAAAGGTCATTGTGTCATCTTGGATTGTATGTCAGCCCTCTAATAATTACTGATTACGAGAATATTTGATGACAGTCACAAATATCAATGGATTGTGGGAAGTTGAAATAGTTGTGTTCAATTTACAATACTCAGCCCTGCCTTTCTGCTCCAGAAGAGACTTATATCCTTCATGTAGACAACAAAGAAATTATTTAGACCAGGGATGATTCATGTGCTCAGTGAGCCATACCCTCTATTTACATAACGTTGCATTTCCATGGCCTAGGGATGCTACATTCCACATCAGGTAAACAATATGCTCACCTGAACCTAAGGAGTAGTCATTTAGTTATTGTAGTCATTTATTTATTGCATCTCATCTGTTGAGAGGGGTGAATTCATAATACATTGACATCTCTTGGTCTGAGAATGCATTATGCCATGTGAATGTTCTATGCCAAATTAGGAAACAAAATACCTTCATCCGTACTTAAGAAAATAATCACTTAGGCTAATGATAAACACCTATTTCCTCCTTCGGGATTCCGTCACTCAGTTCCAGGGGAAGGGGAACGAAGATGGGGCTTCGCCTGCTATCTATGTAAAATATGATTCCCTGGTCTCGAGAACGCTTTATGCAAAATATAGCTAGAATCCAATCGGTGGATCAGATTTTGGCCATAATTTTTTTTTGGGGGGGGGGGTAGGCTGTTTAAAAAATTGTTGACGGACAGAAGATGACAGTGTGGCATAATTCTCAACGAAGTAGCTAAAGACAGTTGTTTGCTATTGGCAGTGTTCTGTCAGCCAAATTTCCCTGTGTTGATTTTGAACATTATCTTTAAAACTTGATACATACTACTTCAGAAAATCAAAACGTTTCCCAACCCTTCATATTGATGCACTACTGACCTACAGCTTTCATAGCATTCTCTAAGATGATTACAGCGTCTAGTCTGTTCATTTCCTGCAGAATGGTCAGCACTGCATGGCTGGCCTCAACTGTCTTGTGGGTAGCGTACCACTCACTGAGGAGGGCCATACAGGGATCATTCTGTGTGGCCCATGCCTTGATCTCCTTTGGTGTATATCCAAGACGCTGGGCCAACAGCCTCCAATCGTGTTCAGACTTCGGATTCATCAACTTGGTAAGATCTCTTGACCATGCTGGACCATTGGACATTGTCTGAAGTGCAAAGTGTACAAATACAGACAAATGTCAATCTGAGTGCTAGACTTTCATTAAAATAGACAATTTCTCCACTCAAATATAGAACGAATCCAACAGGCAACATGAAATAAAAAAAATAAAAAAAAAATCCTACCTTGTTGTCAATTTCTTCAATCTTGACCTTGGTTTCTTCAAGATCTTTCTCCACCACATCGACACGTTTTGTGACAGTTTTAATTCCAGTTTTGACTGTTTTTATTTCTTTGTCATGCCTGTCAACCGTCGTCTTCAGCCCTTTGACTTCCTTTTCAGTTTTTGTGACTCTCTTGTCAAGCATGATGACCTTCTTTTTGGTTTTTATGACATCTATGGCGATACCTTGCAAACTGAAATTGAAGAAGTTGGACACGTTTGGTGTTTAGGTATCTCTTGAAAACATGTAACATGTGATGTTTAATAATCTCTTGTTGTCTCTTTCATAGATGTAACTCATGTTGTTAACTGATGTTTTGACACGGTATAACGCAAGTGTCATCTCTTAATAATATGGAAAGCATTCTGTTTTTAATTGTCGATTTACTAAACATTTTTCTATGTATTTAGTCATATTATACCTGATTCCATCCATTGCGTTAACAATTGAAGTGGCTATGTCTTTCAAAAAGGATTTTCTTCCGTTCTGCTGTAAATCTTCAAAGAATTTGCGATGAGGTTTCAGAGAGTCTACCCCATACTTGGCAGCCAAGATTTGGATAGCATCTAACAGTGGATACTGATAGGTCGGATCTTTACAATTTTGAGTCAAAGTGATGAGCTCCTTCAGAATAGTATCCGCCAGTGCCTGTTGAAAGAAACAGAATTTTGTACCCATCTGGGTCATGATTCAGTGTCAAGGATATATTAGATCAATCATTTAAGATCTCGAGTGAGAAACACACAAAAGTAATACTGGATTCCCAAATGTATGCTCATTATTTTTCGAAAACCCGGGAGCAATATACACAAATGTATAATGTACATACAGTAGAATAGTCTGGTGTCAATTGCAGCGCCCTTGTGACACTGAAAATGTTTTGTTTCCTTTCCTTTGAATGATTAAAGTGATTAAGATTACTTGATATTTTCATTTGATTATTATACACAATATATTACAGTACCAGAAATGTTAACCAGCAAACAAATGCCAATAAAATCACTTTGGATAATTGAGCACAAACCGGTTTCTTTAGTCCAAGGTTGACAGCTATCATCTGAATAGCTGATGAGCACATCGGATTTATATCTTTATTTCGTAGAACATGTTTAACCATGTTATCTCCAAACAGTTGTGGTTGTGTTGGTATAATTTCACCTAAAACCAGTAATATGTAGTATTGGACGTCCTTGTTTCCCAGATGCTTGACCATGAAGTCAACATGGTGTTGGGTGAAGAGCTACAATGGTGAAACAAGAATATAAGTAGTCATTTTTTTCTGTCTAAATATATTTAAGACATGACAGTTCCTATTTCTTTATTCATCACAATGTACAAGAATAATGTTTTTTGTTTTAGATTTTTTTCTATTATGAAAAATCAAGTGAATTGGGGCCAACAGACCTTATAACCTAGCTTCTGAGCTGTTGATTTTGATGACTTGGAGCAAGTTTCCTGAAAACTGGTCAAGTAATGAAAAGCAGGAGTACGAATGTGGACAAAAAGTGCCTACAGGTTCACATATAATTACATAATTATCTCTGGTCATATAACTACCCCAATCCTTTGACTTTAATTGTCTCAATCTGTCTTTCCCTCAAACCTCCCCCACCTCATCATGTGATTCAACATAACCTCTGACCTTTCTTCCTTAATCACATGTGTTATCTTGACTCAAGCCTTACCTCATTATAGTTGTCCCTTTACCTTCAAATTTGCCTACCTCATAGAGTATCTTCCCCTTACCTCTAGCCTTTCTTACCTAATCATGTGTCTCTATCTAACCTTTGACCTTTCTTACTTAATTGTGTGTCTATATCTAACCTCTGACCAGTTTTACTTAATCGTGTTTCTATCTAACCTCCAACCTTTCTTACTTGTCTTCCCTAACTTGCGGTCTTTTCTACATGGCCGCAGTCTTCCTTTAGCTCTGTCCTGTCTTACAAAGATCCTAATCCTATCTTCCCTTTTGATTCTTTGTCATTTCTTACCTCGGGCTGTTTCTCTGCCATTGACTTCAACAGCATACACTCCATGCGAAAATCACGAGCAGAATTTTTCTCCAATACTGTCATCACATCTTTGAACTCTTGTTTTGTGAACCCATCACTTTCCTCATAAGGCTTTTGTAAAGCACCTTAGAATTCATAAAAATGAAAATTTCATGTGAAAATTTAGACTTTGATACAAATAATGACTTAGACAAGGTGACCCAAGTAAACACAGAGCCATAAATCTGTACTACAGTTTGGCACAAAAGTTGACAGTATGTATCCCAAGAGGTACTCGCATACAAAATTGGGCAATTGAAAGCGTCATCATCATAGTATACATGATTGCCTCAGACAATGTTACACACAGACTAAGTGACAGAGTGAAAACAATATGTATCCCAAGAGGTACTCGCATACAAAATTGGGCAATTGAAAGCGTCATCATCATAGTATACATGATTTGCCTCCGACAATGTGACACACAGACTAAGTGACAGAGTGAAAATAATATGTATCCCAAGAGGTACTCGCATACAAAATTGGCCAATTGAAAGCGTCATCATCATAGTATACAAGATTTTCCTCAGACAATGTGACACACAGACTAAGTGACAGAGTGAAAACAATATGTATCCCAAGAGGTACTCGCATACAAAATTGACCAATTGAAAGCGTCATCATCATAGTATACAAGATTTGCCTCAGACAATGTGACACACAGACTAAGTGACAGAGTGAAAACCTAGTCCCCTCTTGTACTGTTGAGGACCTACTAAACTCATCAGTTGATCTACATTTTCAGATGATTTTCTACCACCCTTCACAGGTGACATGTTTCTACTTTTAGTCGGAAAAGATCAGCTTGTCACCCCCTAGGGGGAGATAGCATCGTGCCCATTAGCACGTATTCAATTGTGATGTCATCAAAAGTGAATGACGATATGCATACCCAACATGTGTTTTTGTTTACAAACATGGCAGACTACTGTCGGCAGAGCTGTGACTGAAATGATAGGATGGGAGAAAAATAATCATCCCCGACCTTGAGGATGTAACAGAGAAATCTTCAACCCTCATGGTGATTTATTTGGTTGTCTAACCCTCGGCAGAGCCTCGGATTAAACAACTAAAAAACACCCCTCGGGTTGGAGATTTCTATGTCACATCCTCAAGGTAGGGTAAGATTCTATTAATCTTAAAATAAAGCAACATCGGTATATGCATGACGTTCTTGAAATCCCCTATTGCTGTTATTGATCAGTACAAGTCCGTTGGTCATGTTACTGGTCAGTCATATTATGTAAAATATAAATATTTATTTATAAACTACCAATAGATTAATACTTGGCTAGCTAGGTCTACATTGTAACAGGTACAAATCTGTATCTAATTATCCCATAGTACAATCAAATTGGTACATGTTTGCCCTAATCTTTATACATGTACATTCTTTTTCCTATTGAGGTACAGTAATCTTGAATAAAGGTAAGTTACAAAGGGAAAAAGGTAAGGTGCTATAACAACTATTAATTACATCAGTGACCATTAAAAATTACCCTAAAACTACTCCACCTGCAAAAGATGTGTAACATTTGAATCTATTCACGCCAATCAGAAAACCATGGTTGCCATCTTGTATCCCAAAATTTCATAGTTGAGAGTTTCTTATTAAGTAAACCACTATGTGGCACTCCCAAAAAGTGTAAACTAAGTTGATACAATAGAAAATGACATATCACCGAAAATGTCTTCCCATACTTCCCTATATAAACTATTGTAAACTTTACCCCCTCGGGAGAACGGATGGCCCGGGGGTCCTGAAATTTACAATTAAAATAAAGCCCCTGATGATTTTTCATTCCATGCACAGAAAATGACTATAGTAGCTCTGAGTAATGAGAAAGAAGATTTTTGAAATATAGGTAAATTTTCCCTTTGGGGCCCTGCCCTGGCCCCTGGGGTAGGGGCAGGAATCCCAATTTTACAATTTGGAAACCATCTTCCTCCGAGGATGATCCTCACCAAGTTAGAATAATTTCCTACAGAAAATTGTCAAAATATACCCAAAAGTGTTATTTCCCTATATATATATAAACTATAGTAAACTTTACCCCCTCCCCAAGTGTGAACAGATGGCCCGGGGGTCCTGAAATTTACAATCTTAATAAAGCACTTGATGATCTTTCCATCCATGCAGAGAAAATGACTGTTGTACCTCTGAGTCTGGAGAAAAAGATTTTTGAAATATTGGTAATTTTTTCCCTTTGGGGCCCTGCCCTGGCCCCAGGGGTTAGAGGAGGAATCCCAATTTTACAATTGAGTAGCCTCATCTACCAAGAGTGATTCTGACCAAGATTGAAAAAATTCCATCCACTGGTTCTTGAGAAGAAGTCGAAAATGTAAAAAGTTTACGACGACGGACGACGACGGACGGAAAGCGATCAGAATAGGTCACTTGAGCAAAGCTCAGGTGACCTAAAAAACCTCTGTTACATGCCAGCTTGAACTTACTTTAGATCTATGTATATATAGCAACATCAACCTTGACATTGACCTTGAGACCTATACAAACTTCTCATACTTGACCTTTATGTAAACTTTGATGTAAATCTGTTAAGAAATTAAGTTGGTAAAGTCATGACAATGATTCCTGTGTGACGCAATGTGATGGGACATGACCCAATGAGACAGACATGGGTAACAACACTATATGGCCCCATGACAATGATTCCTGTGTGATGCAATGCGATGGGACATGACCCAACGAGACAGACATGGGTAACAACACTATATGGCCCCATGACAATGATTCCTGTGTGATGCAATGCGATGGGACATGACCCAACGAAACAGACATGGGTAACAACAATTGGCCCCGTGACAATGACATAAAAGTCTAGCCTTATTTCAAGTGACAGATCATCATGTGTAAACTCAACAAAATGCTTGCCAGCAATATTTCTTTTCTGGATCTATTTAAACATTGACATTACAATCACATTACAGATGATTTTAATGTTTCATGAACAGAATTGGAGCTAAAGATCGTTTTTCAAAAACCAAATCTAGGTAAAATAAATAGTTTTAAAAGATTTTTATTAACAAGCACAGAAAAGCTGTATATAGAAATTACCAATAAGACTGTGTACTAAACACGTTATTTCTCCATCATTGCAGCTGGGATATACCCCTGGGTTATCAACACATATAGTACAGTTAGACAGGTACTTACTGATGGCATCCATGGAACCTGAGGTCTCTTTGCACCAATCCACAAGAAGACCCAGTTGTCCATGTAAAAGTTTTGGATCATAGGAACTTATATTTGCAACAATTGCTGAACTTGCAGTTGCAAGATCTGTCTCCTCATGCTCCATCTGTTTCAATATGGCCGGCATCAGTGGTACACAAACGTGAGAGTTTTGATGCTCAACATGCTGGAGAGATATAAAAGGAAGATCGGTTTTTGTAATGGTCCTCTGAAAGCTTGGGATAGACTTAACAATGGAACACAACACACACTTTTGTCAGTCTACATACACCAAGCAGGGTATCAAAGTTTCAATGGAGATGTAGAGCAGCATGAATTAATGAATCAGATAAATATTACAATGATTTTGTCATTAAACATATGTTGTGAGTTTGATGTTTTTATAAGCAACACATAGTTTCCTCATGAAACACCTATCTATGAGGTTTTTCAATAAACATGCTTTTGCTTAAAAATAATGACCAAGAAAAGCATTACAATGATTTAACATTGAACCCTTGCTGTGACCTTGACCTTGATTTTACATGTACATGTATCTATGGATTAAAGATTAAAGAAAGCAGGTATCAGGCAATTTGTTTTTTAATTTACATTCATACTTTTGTTTATATCTAATACCCACTCTACCTTATCTACAAATGCTCTAAGGAACTGTGAGGCTACAAGGTTATACAAGGTTTCTGTCCCAGTTTCCAAGTCAATGTAGTCCAAATCTTCTGTCTGCATTGCCCATAGGAACATCCTTATGAAGGTTCTGTTGACTCCATCAGGCACATCTTTTCCAGTGCTGAAATCAACACAAACAAAATAAATCTTGCTATATCTTATATTTTTGAATAATATTTTTAAACTTAAAAAGACACTCAGTGTTCTTATGATTTTTTTTTCTCATTTTTGGTTTTATAGTCTTTTCTATTGCCGATGTTTGACAAGATAGGGACATGTGAAGCCAGATAAATTCTATGCACTCATTTTGTTGAATATATATAAGGTTTGTTGATTATTAAGATTCCTCTATTTTATTTTCTCTACATAAAATTACCATGATTTTACTGTCCACTGACTTAGTTCTCTTTCAACCATGTGGTAGTCCAAAAACTAAAACACCCATGAAGACTAACCCCCTAGACAGTTTCCACATCTTCATGAAAATGAATGAGGAAGTATAGGTGATAGGTGGAAAGAGCTTTTACAAACTGACCGATCCTAGCTGGCATCAATCACAGGAAGGGGGAGGGATGGGGTTAAAATAAAGAAAAATAACCTACTGCTTCCTCAATCAGACTAGTCAATCGAAATGTGTGAATTTTGAAATTTTGTTTCTAATGATTGGTCAGGACCAGGGGTGTGATCCTGCATCATGTTGGGTTCTGTAAGGGGACTGCGGCTGTATAACTGGAACTGGAACTGAAAACGGGAGGGGTAGTTATAGATAGAGGAGCACTAATTAGGACAAATACAGTAACTCTTTTACATACTTGTAAGCATCCAAGACTGACTGTATGATATAGCGTCCACATCTCTTTGTGTCGAAGTGATTCCACATATAATCCCTGTCGAAGAGCAGCATTGAAAATCTTCTGATCACACCTGGAATGACGTTCCTGTTAGCCTGAAAAACATAGAAAAGACATACATATTTCATCTATTGTCATTTTTTTGTCCAAAAATACATAGGTATGCAAATTACCCCAATTTTAGGCGTATTCTTGTGACAGAAAAACAATGTACAAATAATATTCTATGACTTACCCCAAGAGTGACATTTCCAATGAATCTTTCAACAAAAACATTCAGTTGTTCTGACTTTTTCTCCATCATGGTAATGGCTAGTACAGCTAAATCCCCGTTCAGCTTATCTGGGATTTTGGCAATTCTGAAAATCATTGTCAATCAAGCTGCTGTGATTATTGAATGAAATACTTCTTTTCCAATATTAATTGTTGAAATTTAATCACAATGAGCATAATATTTCAAAGGGCTATGAAGGAGAGCAGAGAGGTTTGTTTTGGTAACCCAACCACAATTTATTAATCATCAATTCTTTTAATTTCACAAGTAAGGTGAAATTTACGATAATTTTTCATAAGTGTGTTTTTCTATTGGCTTCCATGAATGGATAGTGGGGATAGTCACCCTCTTCATTTTCACAAATTTCCAAAATCTACAATCACAATCGAATTGCGAGTTTGACTCATACAATTATAGTTAGAATTACAATCACAATGGAATTGCGACTTTGACTCATACTATTATAGTTAGAATTACAATCATAATGGAATTGCGAGTTTGACTCATACAATTATAGTTAGAATTGTCTTACACTAATTGGTGGTTGTATCTATACCGAATAAAAAAAAAAAAATACCAAAATAACAGAATTCCAATTAACTGATATTCAAGAAATTTGGTATTATCATACGTTCAAAAGTGTCACATTCATCTCGATGTTTCTCATCCATCTACCGTAGTTATTATATTAGATGGCCAGATGGGAAGATTCCACCCCCTTCCCAAACAACTTCATTGTGTTCAATACAGAATCAAAGGGCCTTTTGCATTGTGTACATACGTGAATTGCTCCAGAAGGGTGCTGACAATATCCCCGCAATATTTCAACATTTTTTCATCATCGTCCTTTTTGCCTGTCAGGTGAAGGTGGACCTCTCCTATAGGTTTAAGGATATCTATGGCATGTTGAAAATTTTGCTGGAAAGAAATATTTTCTGGTCTATTACAGGGAAAAATAGGCAAACTTATCAAACAAGAATTCCACAGGAGTGGATGTGATGCCTGTGCAGTGCTTTTAGTGAGAAAAGTATGTTGGCTTGAACACCAGCAATCCCATGGAATAACAGTCAGTGTGAAGTTTTGAGGTTGATCAGCCAAAGGAAACTGGACTTATTGCACGGAAACAGTTTTTCTATTTATGGTAACAGCGACATTGACCTTTGACCTTCGGATCTGAAAAGCAATCCAAAGCAAGCACTATTGGTAAGAAAGTACTGCATGAAGTCTGAGTTCGATCAATCCAAAGAAACAATAGTTATTACACAGAAACAGTTTTTCTATTTATAGTGATGGTGACCTTGATCTTTGACCTTCGGACCTTAAAAGCAATCCCAAGCAAGCACTATTGGTAAGGAAGCACTGTATGAAGTCTGAGCTCAATTAACTTAAAGAAACTGAAGTAATTGCACGGAAACAGATTTTCTATTTATAGTAACATTGACCTTGACCTTTGACCTTCAAACCTGAAAAGCAATTCCAAGCAAGCACTATTGGTAAGGAAACACTGTATGAAGTTTGAGCTAGATCAACCTAAAGAAACTCAAGTTATTGCACAGAAACAGATTTTCTATTTATAGTAATGGTGACCTTGAACTTTGACCTTCTGACCTGAAAAGCAATCCCAAGCCAGCACTATTGGTTAGGAAGCACTGTATAAGTCTGAGCTTGTTCAACCTAAAGAAACTCAAGTTATATATGTTTCCTGTCCTGGCCCTCATACCACAAAACTTCCCCTCTCAATTCCTATATTTCTTCCAAAAAGTTATCTAAAAAGCTTTTCTGCAATTTCTTCACTTCTTTTATATAAAGAATTAATTTCCTAACATCAGTTCATAAATATTTTACTACATTATTCAATGTTTGAGGATATATAACACCTAAGGTAAAGCTGATCGTCAGGAGATGACCAAAGTAGATTATTTTTTAAAGTTTTGCTATTCCAGAGCCTGTTGTTAAACGTTTATCTCAATTTATTGCATTATTTTATCTGATAAATTTCTACAAACTGCTTTATTGATACACTTGTATATAGCTACCATTTGTATAAAGAAAATAAGCAGGGTGGGGTTCCAATGGTAATTTTCTGTACAAAGTGGATGTACATCATCATTTTTTAAAACCATTCATACTTTAATTCTTCAACAGAAGGTCAAACACCATTTATCTATTAACATCATTACTAGTATCTATGTTGATGGTTTTAAATTTTTAAGAGGTCCTGTTATAATAACATTGAAAAAATCTTACCTTCCAATTCCAAATCGTCTTGAATTTTCTTGCATAATACAGGACATCATAGACATTGTAAGCTCCGTCACTTGTGCCTGTTTTCATGAGTGCTTTCAGGAGCGGAAACCAATCCTGTTCTGTTCCCTTCCTAAAACATCACAACATAAGGAGTTAATGTCTATTTAAGAGTCTAATATGAACAGCACAGCATAGAAGGGGTCTGCCTTTCATCTGCTTTCATCTCATTATAAGTAAACATCTGAGCAGACGTAGTATAATATATACAATACAACATTTTGATATAGCGCCCTATCTAGTTAACGTAAGCCACTCTAAAGCGCTTTACAGTACATAGATATACAATTAGCATTTATATTAATCAATACAATATTGAGGATTTCGCAGGAGCTGCCTTATCAGGCGCTAACTACTAGTCCTATGCCACCTGGCTAATATCTCCCTATGTGTGTATGCCTGCGTGTGTGCTGGAGATGTATTGTGTTCTGTTTGTAGTGGGACCGTGCTTCCAACGGTATCATTTATAGTGCCACCTCACTTGAATGCTACAGCACAGATAGAGCAACCCATCCCAGACCATTTTATACTCCACCTGGGTTGTTGGAGTTGCGTGGGCAGGAGAAAAACACTTTCTCTGATATTCCATATGTACGGCGACTTCGGGGATCGAACCCCGGCCGCCTGCTTGAAAGGTCGGAGTGTTAACCACTCGACCAATCCCCCTTATCTGCAGACTTGTTAATAATAGTATAGAATGTAGATATGGTCCATCGGTTCCCTATACGTGACTCCCAACTCAAGCCGACTTCTGGGCATTTAAGCGACCAGGCTATGGTTTTCCATGAGCTTCGGGTCAGTCACAGACGTCCAACTCCATGTTCGAACCGGGTTGTTGGCCACAGCTTTTCAGCACTCTGCTCTTCCAGCACTACAGGGTCGCACCACGGGGTCAATAGCTTATCGGCTATTCTCCATCAGGTCCAAGGGAGGTACTGCTACAGGTGATAGACACCCCTTATCTGCAGACTTGTTAATAAATTCTCAGAATGTATCCTACATTGTTTGTTATTTGTTGTGTAAACATTGCCATATGGTTATGTTATTTCTGTAACAAATTTGTCCCCGTGTTTTTTATTGGGAAAAGTATTTTTTCTTTGTTTAGCATAATTCCAGCCTAATTTGCATGTACCTGGTATATCATTTTGTTTTGTCTGACAATAATCTTGTTAAATAAAAACAGGAGACATTTTTGATTTCAGTGAATATTTCACATATTCATTAACAAAATACTTTGAATGAGTCACCTTTAACCTTGACATTTGACCTTCAGTGTCTGCAGCCTACATTTCTCTTCCTTATGACTTGGTAACTATATATGGTGATATACTATTTATACATGGAAGCAAATGTGAGGTTTCCATGAACCTTTTCCAAGTGACTTGATGAATTTGCTAAACTGTCCTTTGTCCTCTGGCCTTCACACCTTAAACAAATCTTATACTCACAGCTGTCTTATAGAAAACAGCTGTAGTACTGTATACCGGGAAATTGTTCGCCTTTTTCAATGAGGGCGATTTTATCATAACAGTGAATATAAGTAAACAGTATACTCTACATATTCCTTACATCTGAAGGGCGAAATTAACACTGGGCAAACATGGATTTTATCAGTGAAGGGTGAAATTAACACTGGGCAAACATGGATTTTATCAGTGAAGGGTGAATATTTGACGGGGCGAAAGTTTTCCCGTTTACAGTATTTATACTGGAAATATTTTCTCTATGACAGTGAGAAAATATGACCAAGTGACCTTGTAGCTTTGGCCTAGACTTAGCCTTCATTATTCGTTTTATGCTGTGAGTTTTATACTGTGTTTTATACTGTGAGTTTTATACTGTGAGTTTTGAGAAGTAGTGAACATAGTTAACTAATTGACAGAATGTGTTTAGCCAGAAAGGCAGAACATGTGAACGATTTGCTCTCAAGCCACTGTTGTGGTGAGGATCGACACAAACTGTTCTAGTATATTAAGAATCTTAAAATTAAACATTAAATCCACAATATGCTTGGTATCACATTGGCAAAACAGTCAAGATGCATAGTTATTTGTGTAAATTACACTCTGTACTTTTCAACAGAATGTACGTAGCTGACCATAACTTACTTGGCACTGGCCCTCTGAGTCATGATAGATACGAAACTGTTCGCCCAACGCATATTTGCTGGCTCCTCCTCTAAAAGTTCTGTAACCACTGGAACAAGTTTGTCCACTAACTCAGGGTGTTTCTAAAACACAAAATCTTGGATGTTTTTATTTCTTGTAATCAACCAATTCACAAATGGGTGTGTACATACACATATCCTATATCTCTTGGTTAACTGGAAGTTGATTACTATCTCTCCGATACAGATAAACCAAAATTCTAACGTAGGATATATATACACAGCAAAACATGTTTAGTATAAAACACATTTTGCAATTTAATGGGTACGGTGAACTGATTCTGATTCCCCAACTCTTCTCTCTCTTATGTAACGATATGATCATATTCCAAATTTTACATAGTGAATTATTGTCTATTACAAAGCAAATCAGCGGTCCCCTCAGGTGAAATTGAGTGTTATTTTGACACTGTAGTTTGAACCCAATTTCCCAAATTAGAAGTCACACACAACACCGGGTATCCTGACCAGTTCGGTACGGGTTGTTTTCAGGTGGTTCGAAGCAAAGTAAGCTGAAAATGTCTTGATATCGTGTAGCAAAAACTGATGAATGTCTGTCATAGCTTTTGAAAAACTCAAGAGGAATACATGCAGTAGATATTAACTCGTGGTATAATTTACAATACCTTGGTAATGTGAATTTGAACATTTGTCTTATTGTCATATTTCTTATTGGTAAAAACTCAGTCTTAATGTTTGTGAAAACTAACATTTTAAAATAAAAACACTTCTACGATTCGGCTTACTTTGCTCAACACCACCCAGATTAATTACCCTAGCTACAGTATCTGTACCATACCGATGGGGGTACGCGGTTGGCACACCAGACTGCAGTGATCTCGACCATGGTCACCGAGAGGCCCCCAAGGGGCAACTATCAGCTGCTTGCTTTTATACGTTTTGTACGGCTACTGAACACAGTGAGTTGTGTTTTGATGACAATATAGGTGTTGGATTTGTTATCCAACATACCTTTATATACTTTGTATGTGATATAATTAGGGTACTGAATACAGTGAATTAAATTTATGATGACAATCTAAGTGTTAAGTTGAGACCAAGACTGCTGAGTTCGAGTTTTGTGAATAAAGACCAAATTTTCTTCCTGTACTATAACTCCACTTACTTTGTGTGAACAAAAATCAAACTTACTTTGTGCATCTCCTCTGGAGTTTTTTCCAAAAGAACTCTTATTCCTCTTAAAACATCTTTGTACTTCTTGGCATTTTCGGTAATATAGAATTTCTTCATCACATCGAGAACATCATCCCAAACCTCAGCAGTCCATTCGTTTTTCCTGTAAAAGATCTTGTCTTTATAAAACACACTGTCAGTGATGAATCAGTCCTTATATAGATAGCTAAGTGCAAGGGCAATGGTGATTTCAAATATGGTGCAACGAAATACCTATTTACAAAACATCAGTATTTCATGATTTGACTGACGAGAGAATTTAGTGTGAGTTTACAGTCAATATCAAAATGTTGAATAAGGTACATCTATATATCAGGGTAAATTTTTACTGGGGACAGTAAATGGTCTTTTCTATCCTACCAGTTTTCAGTAATGGCAAATGGGAAAGAATTTATTATCACTTCTTTCTATATATGTCACTTTTATTATTATCTTATAATCAATGTTTCTTGAAACAATTTTTCCACATTATATAATCTATGTAATGTGATTCTGTTAATGACACTTGCTAGATTGCTATTTTTTTTTGTAAGTTTTTAAAGTTTTCATTATCACAATGTTTCTTCAGCAAAAACTGCTTTTAGGTTTTTTATCAAATGGTTTCCGATCTTATCAACTGTTGTTATTGCATCAACCAATGAAATTATGTGGTTGAGGTCATATGATTAGTGCAAATCGGGTGAAAGTATTTCACAGTGTACATGAATAATGCTTTTGGTGAAGGTAAAACATGATGTCAATCTTGCAACTAATAATGACAAATGATCTGACAGAAGTGGCAATGTATTCATGCATAAAGATGAAGGCGAATATCTTTGATGACTTTTTTTATCATATTGAAGTCGTAGGTAGTTTTGACCTATTCAATTAATTTGATCTTACTTTTTATAAATACAATATCAAGAATTACTATATTTGCATTTTTGTCACAACATGCATGATTGATCCAAGAATAGGTCAAGGGAGTTGTATTGAATCAAAATTACAATCGGAAGTTGCATAAATGTTAAAGGGCCGGTTTCCAAAACGGCCCCTTCTCTGATTCAAATTTCCTGTTGGTGGTGCATTGCCCATGCCGTTGTGGTCACAAATCTATAAAGTAAAAAGGTTTAGGTCACTTGGTTTGTTTTTTATGGCTCCTCAAAGTTGTACCTTTCAGAAGCTGTCTAAGTGTTGATAAAATGTGCATGTTATGTAAAATATTAATGAAAATCTAATCAAATGATGGTCACCGTAAAGAATACATTCATGGCATGATTGTGACAAAAAATCATGTTTCCATCGCGCCATTTGGCTGTTTTATGGAAGAAACAATCTCAAAAATGCCATTTTCGATGATAACATTTTAGACACAAAAACTGTGTTTTTTAGAGAATACACCCTTTTATGGGCGTTGGATGCAAACCAATTTTTATCCTATTAAACAGTACGTAATATGCTATTGATGAGAGGAAAAATCATCAAAATGTAAGTGGTGGAACATTTTCAAATGTTGGGTTGAATTAGCCTATGGTTGAATTGCCGATTTTCGACTTTCTTTAGATAATTAACAAAAAAACGAGAGTATTTGCTCGGTATGTTGAGAATATGTACACAGATATGAAAAAAAGTGAGAGAAACACTTTTTCATAAAAAAAATCCAAGATGGCTACTTCACAAGTCCCCGTGGTTGAAGACATTGGCTGACAAATAGACAGAACAACAAACAAAACGTGTTCCTTATGATTTTGGTTGGTTTTCGCATTTACGGGAGTGTTCATAGCTACGGGCGATTGTATAATACCTATATTTATAAGTTTGGTTAGTCACATGGTAACGGGGATCTTTCATATCGAGCCCCAAACATACTTTCGACATATGCACTCCGTTGCCGCATGGAAAACTATTTCAAGTTTTGTCGGAATTTCTTTACCTGTGGTTGTAATGGTCGAGGGTTTTCCAGCGTCCTGTAATACCCAAGGTAGTACAAGATACTGGAGATGTGCGCACACATTCCCATCGTTCTCTCTCCAACTGGGCACTGGCAGTAGTAGTCCTTTATTGGGGCCTCAACATCGGGTGAAACGGTGAACCGTATCCAAACGTTATATTTCGTTTGGCTTTTGTGTCGAGAATGTATTTGACATCGGAGAAGGTCTGGGGAGTGCTGGTAAAGCCACACCTCATAGTCTCCGTCATCACTTAAATGTTCGGCGATGTAACCAGGAGCCAGAGATATCTGATACGTTCCACACGTAATGGTTCTCAAGTAATCAAGATCGAGACGGGGAAACAGTACGGAAGATGCATCCATCTTGACAAACTCGGACCTTGCCCGTCTAGATAGATCCGGATCTGTCTTGACTCTCTGAGCTAAACCATTCGGTGTTGTCAAACGGTCCTTCATACGTTCAGCCATTAGCCTATCTTTGGCATCTCTCTCTGGAGATCTCTGGTAGATCGGTCCTCTAATACCATTCAGACAGGCTGTGACGGTTCGAAGCAAAGCCTCGATGACATTGATAAAGCTGTTAGACACCAATTGCGTTCGGAAGAACGTCCAGTGTTTCAGACGACCATGATAGGATTCCACAATCCACCTCGATTTGGTGATAGTTCTGTCAAGATTTGCTTGGACGTCAGAATGTTGACTTTGACCGGGTTTCAGGTATGACGGCATGCTAGCATTGAGGCCAGAGGCTTCGAGAACTGGTAGGACATCTCTAAAACCTCGGTCAACGACAACGTTGTCGTCTGGTTGTAGCCAAGTAACTAGCTTGTCCATGACTTTTTTTGTAATTGTAGCATCATTTTCGCTGCCAGTGAATGGTCCTACTGTGTCCAGAATGTAGCCATCTGGTAAGGCGATGCTCATGAATTTGAGATAGTTTCTCTTCTTCTGGCCACAGTAGGACATTCTCTGGAGCTTGTGGTCGGAGCTTTTCTGGATATAAATATAGGTGCCATCTAATATGGCAGTGGCTTTATCTCCAAAAAATGCTTCTGAAAAGACAGTATTGTGCCCGAGCAACTGTTCTCTTGTCAAGTGATCCGGACCTAGAAATTGTGGGACTATCGATGTGTCTAATGCCTGTACTATGGAGTGGAAAGTTTTGGACACACTTGACTTGGAAATTCCAAAAAGAGAAGAACACTGACTCCAGGAAATGTCGGTTTTCAGTTTTACCCAGAACAGTAATAGAGCATCGTGTGTAGTCTTGGTATATATACCAGATGAAAGATATGGGGAACAGTGCGAGTGGATTTCGAGGAACTGATCTTTGGACCAACCTGTCCAGGCCATGCATGCCGAGTCATCAAGAGAAGAAAAGCTTATTGTAAACGCAGACTGGTTCTGTGAAAGGACGTGCGACACCTCTAGGAGGTCATTAATGATTTCGGACGATTTTGATGGTAACTGAGATTCCAAGGAACCTCTACCATCAAGGACAACCTCTGTAGACGGATCTAAGTCGTTACCAATAAGGTGAATGGAGCAGACGCGGGATGAGGTGGGACACCACAGTTTGTGTGAATAGATCAGGTGATGTCTTGCACGTTTTGGTAAGACTGATGATTTTGTTCCATTTCTTGCAAAGGTAACAAGACAGAGACAGCATTTTTTGTGTGAAGATGATCCATTCAAAAGATCATGAAGGGTCAGCAACGGCAGGATATGGGACGGGGAGTCGTCTTCTTCCTCTATTTCCTGGTTCTGCTCGGGTTCAGGTTCAGGCTGATTTTTGTTCCGAAGATACTTCATGTAGCACTTCTGGCAAATAAGTGCTTGTTCCTTTGCTGACATCAATCCTTGTTGCACCAGCGTATCTAGGAGCCATTTATATTGTGGACTATTTACATTGCGTGCACTTCTGTTCTTATTGCCACTACGTTTCTTGAAGTATACTTGACACCCTTCTCCAACACATTTACCCTCCATCTTGAAACAATAACGATTGGTTTATGAAGCGTCGATAAAGTAACAAAATAGCAAGCCACCGATGATTGCTGTAAACAGCTAATACTTAGTAGTTTGGTACAATTATGCGAAAATGTGTGATAAATAACGAACAACTAATTACACAAAATAACAAGACAATATAATAAATCACATTCAATACCTCCAAGAAGCGCAGAATTGATTGATTACTTAGAACAAAATAAAGTATTTCATATGGATAATCTATCTATTCGATGTGGCGTGGTCGGCAGGCACAAAGAAAGTGAGACAAGTCAGGGTCCCAACCCTGACAGAGCCACAACGCTTTGGAGATGGGACAATAAAACAAGGAAAGTGAGACAAGAATAGCTAGCGTCGAGTCAATGATTCCGTAAACGTATAGACAAAGACAAGAAGATACGGATAAATGTACAAGGCCACACGATCAGAAAATTCAGAAGAGGACAACTTGAGATAGAACAGTATTCATGTATCAGGGTGTCCTCAGTGTAAATCTTTATATCGATACTGTTTATTTAGTCGTTACACATCATAAAACTGTCATGAAAATATCCGCTCTGATATTCAATATAAAAGTTTGTATATAATAAGCTATATAATAGGGTTTCAGACAAGGTTGTTACTCATTTCCCCTTTTCTTTCAATTTACAACCACATTCAGGCGGCGATATGAGAACGTTCCACCACATGGAATTAGCTGATTTTTGGTACACATATGAAACAAGTAAAGCTCTATCCGATTTTCTGATGGAAATTTGCATCCAAAACTATATAACGGGAGAAAATTGCAATTTTATGGCATTTTTCTTCATAATTGTGTCTCTGCAAGTGCATTTTTCATCCGAGAATTATTTTTTTTATGTTTTATGAATAAACACGATGTTTTGGAAATAATCATCAAAAGAAATTTATACTATGTTGCGAATTACAATTTCGAGATAACTTTCTTTTATTTACGAACTTATGTCTTTGATGCTGAAATTGACAACTTTATAAAAATACATTTTCACTGAAATTATGAAATCTGAGTGTCGGAAAGGTGTAAAATTATTCTTCGGAAAAGAAAAAAACAGTAGTTGAACTAGATGAGAAATTTTATGGAGAATTAACATTACTGGAAACAGGCCCTTTCAATTTTCTATAAAGACAAAGCATTTGAGCAAATGGATAAATGACATTATTTATTATCTTTACTGTGAAGGAAAAAAACATCAAGTTAACAACCTCTTCATTAAATATTCTTCTCTGCTAAACCTCATCAACAAATAACAATAGCGATACACTAACAAAAACATTGAAACATTATATCACAACCTCATTTATTAGCCACCTGGTCTGCTAGCTGTCAACAAAGTTTAATTGTTTTTAGCAATTCCTTTCTATTACTCACTCAATGAACAGACAACACGTGCTGTGAGAGTACCATGATCACACAACTTACATGACACAGGTTGTAATTTGGTTGTGAGAGAACCATGATAACACTAAATACATGACACAGGTTGTAATTTGGTTGTGAGAGAACCATGATTACACTACTTACATGACACAGGTTGTAATTTGGTTGTGAGAGTACCATGATAACACTACTTACATGACACAGGTTGTAATTTGGTTGTGAGAGAACCATGATAACACTATACTTACATGACACAGGTTGTAATTTGGTTGTGAGAGTACCATGATAACACTACTTACATCACACAGGTTGTAATTTGGTTGTGAGAGTACCATGATAACACTTCTTACTTGACACAGGTTGTAATTTGGTTGTGAGAGTACCATGATAACACTACTTACATGACACAGGTTGTAATTTGGTTGTGAGAGTACCATGATAACACTACTTACATGATACAGATTGTAATTTGGTTGTGAGAGTAGCATGATAACACTATTTACATTACACAGGTTGTAATTTGATTGTGAGAGTACCATGATAACACTACTTACATGACACAGTTTGTAATTTGGTTGTGAGAGTACCATGATAACACTACTTACATGACACAGGTTGTAATTTGGTTGACAAGTTCCTCTGCCTTTTTCACTTGATGTTCATTTCCAAAACTTTTACTACAAATAGTGACTCCTATAGCCTTCCAGTGCTTCAGTAGAATGTCCTTCTTTTGAAGAACCTGATAAAAGTCAGAAATAAAATTATTTTTTTCAGTCAACATTTTCCAGTACATTTCATACCCAGATTATAATCCAAATGAACATCGGATGACATCTCTGTACATTTTCTACCCAGATTATAATCCAAATGGACATCAGATGACATCTCTGTAAATTTCATCCCAAGATTATATCCAAATGAACATCAGATGAAATCTCTGTACATTTCATACCCAGATTGTAATCCAAATGAACATCAGATGGCATTTCTGTCCATTTCATACCCGGATTATAATCCAAATGAACATCGGATGACATCTCTGTACATTTTCTACCCAGATTATAATCCAAATAAACATAAGATGCCATCTCTGTAAATTTCTTACCAAGATTATAATCAAAATGAACATCAGATGACATCCCTGTACATTTCATACCCAGATTGTAATCCAAATGAACATCAGATGGCATTTCTGTCCATTTCATACCCGGATTATAATCCAAATGAACATCGGATGACATCTCTGTACATTTTATCCCCAGATTATAATCCAAATGAGCATCAGATGACATCTCTGTACAATTCATACCCAGATTATAATCCAGATGAACATCAGATGACATCTCCGTACATTTCATACCCAGATTATAATCAAAATGAACATCAGATGCCATCTCTGTACATTTCATACCAAGATTATAATCCAAATGAACATGAGATGACATCTCTGTATATTTCATACCCAGATTATAATCAAACTGAACATCAGATGACATCTCTGTAAATTTCATACCCAGATTATAATCAAACTGAACATCAGATGACATCTCTGTGCATTTTATACCCAGATTATAAGCCAAATGAACATCAGATGACATATCTGTACATTTAATACCCAGATTATAATCCAAACGAACATCAGATGACATCTCTGTAAATTCCATACCAAGATTATAATCCAAATGAACATGAGATGACATCTCTGTATATTTCATACCCAGATTATAATACAAATGAACATCAGATGACATCTCTGTAGATTTTATACCCAGATTATAATCAAAATGAACATCAGATGACATCTCTGTAAATTTCATACCCAAATTATAATCCAAATGAACATCGGATGACATCTCTGTACATTTTATCCCCAGATTATAATCCAGCTGACCATCAGCTGACCTCTCTGTCCATTTTATACCCAGATTATAATCCAACTGAACATCAGATGACATCTCTGTGCATTTTATACCCAGATTATAATCCAAACGAACATCAGATGACATCTCTGCACATTTTATACCCAGATTATAATCCAAATGGACATCAGATGACATCTCTGTAGATTTTATACCCAGATTATAATCCAAATGGACATCAGATGACATCTCTGTAAATTTCATCCCAAGATTATATCCAAATGAACATCAGATGACGTCTCTGTACATTTCATACCCAGACTATAATCCAAATGAACATCAGGTGACATCTCTGTACATTTCATACCTAGATTATAATCCAAATGAACATGAGATGACATCTCTGTATATTTCATACCCAGATTATAATCAAACTGAACATCAGATGACATCTCTGGACATTTCATACCCAGATTATAGTCCAAATGAACATCAGATGACGTCTCTGTACATTTCATACCCAGACTATAATCCAAATGAACATCAGGTGACATCTCTGTACATTTTATACCCTGATTATAATCCAAATGAACATTAGATGACATCTTTGGACATTTCATACCCAGATTATAATCCAGATGAACATCAGATGACATCTCTGTGCATTTTATACCCAGATTATAATACAAATGAACATCAGATGACATATCTGTACATTTAATACCCAGATTATAATCCAAACGAACATCAGATGACATCTCTGGACATTTCATACCCAGATTATAGTCCAAATGAACATCAGATGACAGCTCTCAACATTTCTTACCAAGATTATAATCAAAATGAACATCAGATGACATCCCTGTACATTTCATACCCAGATTGTAATCCAAATGAACATCAGATTACATCTCTGTACATTTCATACCCAAATTATAATCCAAATGAACATCGGATGACATCTCTGTACATTTTCTACCCAGATTATAATCCAAATGAGCATCAGATGACATCTCTGTACAATTCATACCCAGATTATAATCCAAACGAACATCAGATGACATCTCTGTGCATTTTATACCCAGATTATAAACCAAATGAACATCAGGTGACATCTCTGTACATTTTATACCCTGATTATAATCCAAATGAACATCAGATGGCATTTCTGTCCATTTCATACCCGGATTATAATCCAAATGAACATCGGATGACATCTCTGTACATTTTCTACCCAGATTATAATCCAAATGGACATCAGATGACATCTCTGTAAATTTCATCCCAAGATTATATCCAAATGAACATCAGATGACTTCTCTGTACATTTTATCCCCAGATTATAATCCAGCTGACCATCAGCTGACCTCTCTGTCCATTTTATACCCAGATTATAATCCAAATGGACATCAGATGACATCTCTGTACAATTCATACCCAGATTATAATCCAAACGAACATCAGATGACATCTCTGTAGATTTTATACCCAGATTATAATCCAGATGAACATCTGATGACATCTCTGTACATTTTATACCCAGATTATAATCCAAATGAAGTTGACAACTATAGTGTGCTATTGTGATTTTATTTTTAGACAAACATTTTTTGAACTTATCTTAAAAACCTCATAGTTAATGTTTCCTCACCAGATAAGGGTTCTTGTCATGCTTGTCACTGTAAGCTTTCTTTATGGTGATCATGACATCAGATATATGGTCGGCATATTCGTCTGGTTCCTTGCCCATCTTTATGAAGTAGAATAGGTACAGATCCAGAAACTGTTGATGGATCTCTGGCTCGTACACTTTATCACTTTTGTAATCACTGAAATTGGGGAATACATTTACAAACCACCATTCACCTCTGTTTTACGATGTATTTATCTCAAACAATTAAACAAATGGCCCAGAGGGCCTGTATCGCTCATCTGGATATCAAGTTGTCATGACAATATAATTCTCATTAAAAGCATTACTGTAAAACAACATGTTTCCGGCCAAAGAACATTAATCTCCTTCCTCTTGGTTATTCATACAATTTTTTTTTCAAGTTTAAAGGTTTTTTAACACATCTGACCCTTGTGACCTTGAAAGTAGGTCAAGTTCATTTATTTGTTGAAGCTTAATATCACTTTATTTATGCGTGCTACTTTTCAAATATTATCACCCTTGGCATCTTGGTTTATCAGATTTGTTTAAAGGTTTTTGAATATTTGACCTGCAGCCTTAAAATTATTTCAAGTACATCATTTGGACATGCTACTGGCTAATATTATAACCCTATACCACTTGCTTATTTAGAGGTTCTTTAAATATTTTCAACACATTTAATGAAGTGACCAAGTGACACTGAAAGTAGGTCAAAAGACAGATGTTTGGACTAAAAGTAGGTCAAAAGACAGATGTTTGGACAACCTGATTCCAGGATTCCTCCTCCCTATTTTATTGCAGGGGGTATAATAACTTGAACAGCAGCATCTCTAAAATTATCTTAATTGGATGGAAATGGCGATACCTAAGATGAAATATGAGCTGCAATACCACTGACTTAAAAGTTTAGATTTTCAACAATATTTTAATTTGCTCTTTAGGCTATGGGACCATACAATTAGTGCACTGTTGGTCCAAGATATCTAGAACACTGTTGGCCCAAGAGATCTAGAACACTGTTTGCCAAAGAGATCTAGAACACTGTTGGTCCAAGAATTATAGAGATTTTCTTCACAAGAGATCTAAAGCACTGCTGACTAAAAGAACACATAGCACTACTTGCTCAATAGAACTAAAAATAAAATTGGCCCGGCAGCCTAAAAGAACTGTTTGCCCCAGAGAACTATAGCAGTGTTAGTTTACGAGCACAAGAGAACTGTTGGCCCAACATGAGTGCAAAAAACTTTATCACAGACGACTAACAAGAGCTAGGCCATGATGGCCTGAAGTACTCTTCTTCACTGCTTTCAGGTGTAAGCTAAGCAAACTGTTAGTAAAATAAAACTCCATAAAACCTCACTAAAGGTACCTAAATAATTCAATACTAAATTGAAATGTACCACTATATTTTTTAAATATTTAAAGTAAAATGAAAGATATATAAACATTTAAAAATAACAAAGATATCCCAGAGGGATCTTGGCGCCCATCATTGTACCATCTTCATAAGTTCTATGTCAGTTCAATCTCTTCTCTTCTTTTCTCCTCTTTTCTTTTATCTGTTTGATCAGTTTGCCCATCCGCCATCAGTCTTTTGATCAACTTCAAAAGCTAACATGCACAACTAAGGACCAAGGGGAACCTACATGTACATATCGAATTTGAAAAAGATTCCTCAAGTGCATTCTGAAAAATAGTGGTAACAAACTTGAACTGTAACAAGATGTCCGCCTGTCCGTATCTTGGTTTTCAGATCAGTCCAATAATTTGATATGCGTAATAAGGAACCAAGAGGAACCCTTATGCGAAATTTGAGAAAGATCCCTCAAATATTTTTTGAGCCTTATTCAATAGGAACACCTGCCAGCCATCTTCATCCCCAAAATTTAAAATGCATAACTGAGAACAATGGGAAATCTTCATGCAACATTTGAGAAAGATCCCTCAAGTACTTTCTGAGAAATAGTGCTAACAAACTTTAACTCTCAAATTCAAGATGGCTGTCTGTTGGCCATCTTGGTTTTGTGATCAGTCCCAAAAAAGATATGCATAACTAGGGACCATGGAGAACCTTCATGTGAAATTTGAGAAAGTTTCCTACAATACATTCAGAGAAATAGTGGTAACAAACTTTAATTCTCAAATTCAAAATGGCTGCCTGTCAGTCATCTTGGTTTTGTGATCATTCCCAAAAAATGATATGAATAACTATGGAACATGGGGAACTTTCATTTGAATTTTAGAAAGATCCCTCATGTACTTGATGAGAAATAGCGCTAACAACCTTTAACTCTCAAATTCAAGATGGCTGTCTGTCGGCCATAGAATTACCACAGACGCATGGTGATTTGAATAGCCCACCAACTGATGTAGGTGGGCTCAAAATATAACAATAAATTGATTACCCTAGTATGCTCGTCACAAGTCTGCTGGTGCAGTAACCCCAATAGTCACTCTGTTTCTTCACAGACATCTCTCGCCCCTCAGGGATGTGAGTCCACATTTTCAAGCTGTCAATTATTCTTGTAAGATCGTTCCCTCTCAAAGCCTACAACAAACAAAAACTCCCAAACAGTATGATATGCTTTTGCCTCAAACTCATCTTATTCCATACCTGTCAATTGCCCAAATTCTGTCTGGTCATACCACATATTTCAGCTCATGACCAGATAAAAATTATAATCAAATGTGGCCATTTTCACCAGATGTTCACCAAACATGACCATATAAGACCAAATAAGCAATCAAATATTCCGATACAGCGCAAACATTTGTCACATGGCAAAAAGGCATGCTATTTTTACTAGCAAAGAGGTTCCTATTAAAATCACAGGTAAATTAAAACCTTAAGCTTGTTACATGTACCAATCTTTACTCTGAGAGGCAGGACCAGGAAGACGGGGTGACAATATTTTTCACAGACAGTCTTCTTGGGGCGACTTCATATTTTACAATCAGTATAATTACCTCCAAGTAAGCGTATGTCTCCTGTGTTTTGACGAGCCGGTCCTGTATGATGTCGGCAGTAGCAGTCCCTGGCCCTGTCTTTATGAGAGCCAACAGCAGTTCAAACAACATCTTCTGACATGCTTTCATTGTCATCCTTCCATCGTTCACACATTCCCTGGAAAGCAGAAAATGTGCGATTGAGATGTTTTACACATTTTCTCTACAGCAATGATTGAGAGACTAAGATCAGGGCTTTTAGGAATGGGGCGTGTAGCGTTGAAATTGGAAAATTAAGGCACAGTAATGGAATTAGAAATTTTCAGAATTATGCTAAGAGTGGATTGTTTGTAAAAATGAAGTACCATCTAAAACAATAAAATATCCTTGATTTCTGAAATGTTATTTTTACTCCAAATTAGGAATTTTCAGCTTTATGTTAAAGTTTGTAAAAACGAAGTACTGTCTAAAGGAGTAAAACACCTTTCTAAAATGTTTCCATTTAAACTGAATTGATGTATGCCGATATGCACATATGTGTGTGTCATGTGTGTGATCAGATAATTCCAGAAAACGTACAACAAAATACACATTTTACGGAGCTTCTTCTTGGTTTTTAATATCTTTACATCAATGGAAAAAAAATCATAAAAAATATTTAAAAAAAATATATATTCAGAGATCGATTTTCGGAGCATGAACAGCGGGGTTTTTTCAGATTTTTTGGGTGCACAAAATATTTGAATAGAAGCCTTTTTCCCGATTTTCAGCCTCAAAAAGTACCTGCGCAAATTACACAGGTGCGCAAATTACATGGGTTTTTACGATAGTAGAAAAATTGATTGGGAAATTCTGATGAATTTTCAGGAAAAATAGCATTATATTTTCCATTGGAAATGGGTTTGAAATTTAGCCCAAAAGTAGACAAAGTTGTGTTGTTTACATTCCTGTTAAAGAATTTATTCAGAGAAAATATGTACTGACTGAACTTACCCCATGACATCCTCAATCATCTCATGTAACTCTGTAGCCATTTCAGCCCCAGTTGTCTCCCGTGGGGGAAAACCCTTCACACAGACTTTCTCCTGCAGGGCATCAACACATTCTTGCAAGGTTTCGGCACTCCCTTTCTCTCTTATTTCTTCCCTTTTATCCCTCCATTCCTGTGTTTGACGTTTATGTTGTTCTTTATTGGCAGTCACTAAATTGTGCATCTTTATTATACACAATAGTAAGGGCTGGCCTGTCAAACACACAATTGTATATCTTTATTATACCTAACAGTAAGGGCTGGCCTGTCAAACACACAATTGTACATATTTATTTTACACAATATAGTAAGGGCTGACCTGTCAAACACACAATTGTACATATTTATTATACCTAACAGTAAGGGCTGACCTGTCAAACACACAATTGTACATATTTATTTTACACAATATAGTAAGGGCTGGCCTGTCAAACACACAATTGTACATATTTATTATACCTAACAGTAAGGGCTAACCTGTCAAACACACAATTGTACATATTTATTATACCTAATAGTAAGGGCTGACCTGTCAAACACACAATTGTACATCTTTATAACGAACGGTTCACCTGATAGTATGGGCTTAATTAAGTAGTTAATACACCACACATTTAATTACATATATATATTCTATAGTTTCCAAGGAAAAGCCTCTGTTGGCATTTTGAATATTTTTTTTGAAATTAAGGCAATATACAAATATTTATCTGGAAAATAAAAAAGGGGGGGTGGAGGAGTCCAACGTCCCGTGGGTGGTACTGTTCGCTAGATGGATCGGTGGAGGAGTCCTGGGTGGATACCGGAGTATTCTAGCAGAGCTCCATAGACGAAAGGTGTAAACTTTAAACTAATAAGCGAAACATGTAAACTAATAAATTCTAAACCTACGGAATCCTTGGTGTTGATGCTCCCTCCTTTATCAAATATTTATCTGGGGAAAAAACACTTACATGTATATACCCACTGCTCTATTGTTCTTTCTTGTTAAATGGTGAACTTGACTTTGACCACAAGAAGAACTTGATGAACCGCTATTGTACATCTTTATATAACAACGTATAAACATGCGAAAATTTCAGAAATTTTAAAACTTTTGTTTTCTAAGACAATCCCCTCAAAAGAAAGTGAGGGGGGACAGATAGACATTAGATAACTTAATTAATCTGAATTTAAGATGCAGGGCCTAAATGAAATACCTTGAAGGTTAGCACTTAAACTTAGGTTGATGGCAAATTTGACAAATTATAACAAAAGTTGACCTACCTGGTATTGAAGAAACAGGCAAAGATTGCTTCCCGTGTCCTGGGGAATCTAAACAATAATAATACCATAATCATAAAGTAGTTGGTAGGGAACATAATATACATAACACTGTCTTGTAAATGAATTTATAAAAATATTTCTTTTTATAGTTATTATAAAAAAAACCCACAAAATAACAGTTCAGTAAACCAGTCCACATAACTACTGGAATTTGTGTATATAGCAAGGTTTTTTCTGGAACTTTTTTTCGGCTGAAATTTGGCACTATTCTCAACAGCAAATGTTGCTATCAAGAAAAATAGTTTTCAAAAATCTCTTTAGAATTTCCCCATGAAAACATGTTTTTTTGAGGGAGGGGGGGAGAGGTAATTATCAAAACCTTGTCTATTTTTGAAGATAGCAATGCAACAGCAACATCTAAAATGACATAAGAATGCTTTAGTCTTTCAGATGATACTTTCCAAAATAAATCATAAGACGGTATGATTCTAAAAAAAAAATGAATGTGTTGTCAGTATAGTGTGACTTGGATGACGACTGTCCTGGGTGCCTTCTGCATGTATCTCAGTGATGTAGCACTCTGAAGTCAGCATTAGACCCATGCTATGGCAAGGAGGCAAAAACATCAACATACCCTGCCTCCAGCACACATACAATGTGTAAATCATTTAGAATTACCAAGAAACAATTTTCCAAATTGTAAAACCACAGGCCACATTCTCTGTATCATAGATTACTTATAAATGTTCACACTATAAACATATAACATGTATGTAACCTACTTATCCTGGGATCCTGCCAACTGGTGCTTCCATCATTATTGTTTATAAAGTAGACTTGACCCTGGGGTGTGAAAGCGTGCGTCCAGCCCGGGGGTAGGGGAGGCCCATACTGGTTCATGTCTTGAGCTTGTTTGATTCCCTGTGGCACTCTGCTCAAGTCTTGTGGTGTGTTAAAGCCAACCATGCACAAAGCAGTATACCTGTGATAATGAAATGCCTCTTTGCTCACGGTAATAAATCATTTCATGGCTATATAGATCTGAAAGTCAAAAATGATTAAAGTTAAACACTAAATGTAACAAGGCATCACAAGTGATATCCCCTTGCATTAATTCACACATTATGTGTAATATATATGAGAAAATACAATAGAAAATTAATTGATGTCACAGTATATAACTGCTCTAGGGACTGCATCTGTTGAAGGTATTGTCAAGACAAACAATTGTGTAAAGTTTCTCGAAATTCTGTTGAAGAATGAAGTCAATAGAGCGATGACAATGTTTTTCTAAAAATAGTAAGTGACCTTGAACTTTGACAGAGTAACCCGAAATGCAAATTGTTCAAGGTATTGTCATACCAAACACTTGTATCAAGTTTAATGAAATTCCGTTAAGAAATGAAGTCGCTAGAGTGATGACAAAGTTTTAGAAACAGTGACCTTGACCTTCAACGTAGTAACCCAAAACGCCAACTTGTTGAAGGTTTTGTCATACTAAACAATTGAATGAAGTTAATTGAAATTCTGTTGAGGAATGCAGTCGTTAGAGCGATGACAAAGTTTTTTTCTAAAAATAGTAGCAGTGACCTTGACCTTCAACGTAGAAATCTGAAATGCAAACCAGTTCAAGGCATTGCCATACCAAACACTTGTATGAACTTCCATGAAATTTTGTGGAGGACTAAGTGGCTAGAGCGATGACAATGTTTTTCTAAAAATAGTAAGTGACCTTGACCTTCAACTTTGAAACCTGAAATGTGAACATGCTCAAGGCATTGCCATTCCAAACACTTGAATCAAGTTTAATGAAATTCAGTTGAGGTATAAAGTCGCTAGAGAGATGATATTTTTTTATCTAAAAATAGTAACAGTGACCTTGACCTTCAACACAGTTACCGGAAATGCAAACTTGACCTCAAAAAGGGTCAAAATGAAAAAAGGGTTGGAATGAAAAAGTTTTACTTGGATGCAAAACGTCAGGGGGCAGTTACCATATCTGTATTAAAAAATTAAAATCGGCCCAGTAGATTAGGAAAAGTTGTTAGGACAAGAATTTTTCAACAAAGGGCCATTACTCCAAAAAATGGGACAGATTGAAAAAACAAAACCTGGACGCACAACATCAGGTGGTAGTTATCATATGTGAAAACTTGAATTGAAATTGGCCCAGAAGTTTTGGAGAAGTTGTGCAGGAAAGCATTTTTCAACAAAGGGCAATTACTCCGTAAAAAAGGGTCAGAATGAAAAAATTAATACTTGGAAGTTTCTTTGAAATCGATTCATAACTTTAGAAGGAGTTGTCCAGACAAAAAAATAGGATTTTTTTCAACAAAGGCCCATAACTTCGTGAAAAAGGGTCAGAATGAATAAATAATACCTGGATGTTTCGTTCAAATCGGTCCATTACTTAAGAAGTAGTTGTACGGTCAAAAAAAATCTACGGATAGACAGACAGACAGACAGACAAGCTGATTCCAGTATGCCCCCCTAACTTCGTTGCGGGGGTATAATTATGCTTTTGTTTAGTACTCATATTAATACCCGGCCTCCTCCGCCTGGCAAAAAAAAACTCATCGTCAGAAAGCTACGTTATTGCAGCTAGTCATTAAAACTGGGTGATGTGCCGGGTGGGGGGAGGTGCTGCTGACACGAGCCTGAAACCGGTACCTGGACTGACATCCGTTCTCCCAACCTCCAAAATATCATATTCACATCCTGTAAGGTTCTATTCCAGATTAACATGGATGTAAACAACGAACATGCTTACCAATCGCCCATCAGTCTTCAACATATGTACTATGGGTAACTCTCGAGATAATCCGAAAAAGAATTACAAAGGCGCATTCGCAATGCGAAATTCAATCATGCATAGACCAAATTCATGTTTGTCTGCTCAACTTAAAATTAACGAATGACCGGAATGTATATTTCATCCAATATAATTTTAACTTTGTAGAATTTATTAAATGTAATATGGTAAGGTTTTATAAGTGTTTAAACACAAAGAACAAACAAATAAATATAAATTTAAGGACTCTTTTCAGAATTCCTATCTTTAAATTGGTGTAAATTCGCTTTACTGAAAGAAAGCTAACAACGTAAACGTTATACAGCTTGCGATGCGTTGATCGGAAAAACCTGAAACCAAGGTATAGGCGTTACAAAGACATAATTGTCGTATAGGTCAAGGTCAACTAATGTTGTATCTAACTTCATGTAACGACCTGCTGAGGAATACAGTTATAACGCACACATATTCATATATGTATTACCGTATGGGCATAACAGATAAAACAAATATTCAACAACAACGGTTGCAAGATAACAACATTTATAATAGATTATACGTGTATTGTCAAAATAAACTAGTGTTTTGGGGTAGCATAACAGTCAGATATATATACAGTATGAACGTTGCTTCAATGCTATCCCCCCACCCCCCACTCCCACCCCCAAATGCGTCTGACAATGGTGGATTTTTATATATCATTTAGCGGGTAGTAACCACTTCTATAATCCAACACAAAGGAGAATTGACGAAACCCTTTTTGTAACCTTTTTGTTGCTAAAGTTAAAATTAGGAAAAAAGAAAAAAACAGAATTTAGTCTAACAAGAGCTATTGAAGAACAGCGTAGATCGCCTATTATTTATATATTGGTGATAGATAGTGTAAGATAGCATGCAAATATCAATAGAAAGACATGTGCAGTAAAACCTTGATATAATACCCGTCATTTCATTTGCCACCTCGCATTCGCTTTCTGCCAACATACATGTATTTTCATGTCCCTTAATTGTTTTTCTTAAGAACTCATTTACTGCATAACATAAAATGTTACATCAAAACATGTACAGTAGTAGATGAAATTATCCATCTTTTCAGGGAATTTAACAATCACACTATTTGGGTCGGAGGTGATTTTAATCTAAGTGGTATTTCATGGCCAGATGCTGTCATCAAAAGTAACAACTACCCCGAGACACTCAATGAAGAATTCCTCAGACTTTTCAACGATCTTTCACTCGACCAAATTGTAACCTTTCCAACTATTGACACTCACGTCACTCAAAAACGTTCAAGGTCCAAACTCACCAACACTGGGCTTATAATGAAATTGACCGGTTATCAAGACAGAAACGTAAAGCTTACGATAAAGCACTCAAAAGCAAGTCACCTGAGGACTGGGACCGCTACAAAAAACATCAAAAGTAAGATGCAAAGGGAAGTAATTAGTCAAGAAGCTAAAGAAAATCCCAAAATAGTTCGGGAGCTATGTCAAAAGCAAAAAAAGTGGATTCTTCCAACATTCCCCCTATTAGAAATCCATCAGAATGGTATCACCTACTTTGAACCTAATAACAAAGCCCAAATTCTGAACCATCAATTCAACTCAGTTTATACATTGTACTCATGAAAATGTATCTAATATTCCGCAACTTCCTGATAGTAAATTCTCTTCTATGTCAGATATTAAGAGCACTGCTTAAGGTTTAACAAGCCCCTAAAACATGTAATACTCACCCTACATTTCAACCACTGGTAAGTCATATTCAAATACCCTCGAAATATATATATGTAAGTTAAATATATTGAACTTGTACATGATCTATTAAACAAGTACATAACCAGGTTAACGTAGTCAATAATAAAGTCTTCATAAAAATAGCTCACCGGACTTATAACATGTCAGTCTCTTTAGCGACCTAACTGAATGCTGAGAAATGACATATTATCTAAAGTTCATGTATATACCCTAGGTCATGCGAAGCTTAATTTCTCTTTAATTAGGTGTGGCGAGGCATACTGGTCTAAAAGTAGATTATTGTTGCTATGGGAATGTACAAAAATCATAGTAAAACGTCTGAGTAACATATTTACTGGTATATGTGTGTGAAACCATAGACCTATGACCATAAAAACCGCTAATACTTCACATAAAGTGTCCTTTCTTAACATTAAATGTTGTTATGAAAAAGCTAATATTGTTATAAACATTATCGTATTTTTCAGCTTAAATGTTTATAACATGTCAAGCGCATTCATTACAAAATATTCTCAAATGGCACATCATCTAAAGTTCATTTATCGATCAAGGTTTCTTAGCCTTTGTTTTCTCTGCTTAACTATATTATATTACCCGGTGATTTTACTATGATTTTAGTGGTTTTGCATGTCAACATCTATATTTATTTGAGGTCGGAATTCCTCTCAACAGCTAGTAGTAGAGAAATAAATGAAATGTAAATTATGGGTCATTTCTCAGCATTCAGTTGGGTCGCTAAAGAGATTGACATGTTATAAGTCCGGTGAACTATTTTTATGAAGACAACAGCCTAAATGCCCTATTTTTGACTACGTTAACCTGGCTATGTTTTTTTTTGTATAGCCAATGTTAAAGTTCAATATATACAAATTACAGACATCTGTATATAAGTTCCGATTTTTAATTTAGGTATTTGAATATGACTTATCAGTGGATTGAAATTTTAGATGACTTTGGCATCTATTATGGGGCTTGTTGAACCTTAAGGGACTGGAGGTATGTATACAAGGCATCTAGCCCCGACAGCATTCCATCAAAAATGCTAAAAGAGCTTGCTGTAGAAATCACACCAGCGCTAACCAAATTATTTCAAATTTCACTAGACTCTGGCTCGGTTCCACAAGACTGGCGTGAAGCGCATATTGTCCCTGTCTTTGAAAAAGGTGACAAACAGGCTGCGGAAAACTATCGTCCTGTCTCGTTAACTTGTATCACCTGTACACGTCTGGAACATATCATCCATACGCAAAAGATGACTGCATACACTTGCAAACAGACCTCGCTAGACTAGAGCAGTGGGCGACTGACTGGCAAATGAATTTCAATGCTGGTAAGTGCTGCATCATCAATGTTATGGAAAACGAAACTAAAGTCCTCGTACAATGTGCTTACTAGCTTCACAACACAAGTACCTAGGGGTTACTCTAACAAATGATTTCAGCTGGGGTAACCACATCAACTCCACTGTCAACAAAGCCAACAAAACACTCAGATTCCTGAGACGCAACATGTCATCATGCTCCAGGAAAGTGAAAGCCAAGACCTACACCTCATTAGTAAGACCGACTACCGAGTACACCTCTACATACTGGGACCCATACACCTCAGAAAACATTGTACTGTTGGAAACTGTCCAGCGTAGGGCTACAGGACTCGTGAACCTAGGAGTGTAACCAACCTGATCAAATCACTGTACTGGGTACCACTGGCAGAAAAGAGGGCAAAAGACAAACTAATTATGATGTACAAAATTATTAACAAAAAAGTGGTCGTTATTCCAAACGACTACATTAAAATACCTGACCGATGAACCAGGGGAGCACACAAACTTCAGCATATTTCCACTAATAATGACTAATACAGAAATTCATTCTTTCCTAGGACTTTTAGAACATGGATTTCTCTATCAAAACATATAGCTCAGTCACCTGATTTGAACTCTTTCAAAACAGCTCTATCTGACTACCAACCCAAAACTACCCTCTGTTAGAGTCAAATCTTGTCAGAGCTGTACAAAATTCTATCCCCCATTCCCTTCCCTAGTACTGGTAGATGACTGTGTACAGGTTTGCCCAATCACTTGCCTGCGCATGCCTTCTGCCAGTATAAAACATACTTTCTTTTAACCTACATTTGTTGTCATGTATCATTTTCATATCCAAACATTTCTTTACAAAAATGTGTTATTTCATAAATGCCACCTCCAAGAACACATGATTGCGAGAATTACACTCATACCTATGAGTTCTGTCGCAGTTACCGGAAAAAGAAGAAGAAGAAGAAGATGAAGAAGAAGAAGAAGAAATATTCGTAGATATTTTCATTCGTGGCTTGAAGCCAATAAGATCGTTTCGTCGTAGAAACTTCCGTGGATAGCCACATGTAAAACAAAGAGTAGTCAAGTATATCAATTAAATTAGTTGTATTTATTTTCGTGGTTCTGTAGCCTCCACGAAAACCACGAATGTTTACATACAACGAGCATTTCATGTTATATTGTATACATTTCCTTCATTTTATTGCCAAACCCCCTTTTGATGCCAATATTTCTTTGAACAAATGGTGGCAATATCAAAGCATCAGAGCTATTGTGACGTCACAGTTGACAGTGCCCGTTTCGTATTTTTCACATTAAACCCTTCTCTCTGATTGATCGTTTTTGTCTGAAAATATTATAAAGTGTTATTTGTTACAGTAGAAAAATCAACTTCATTTTTACTGCAAAAAGTTGAGAAATGTTGGAATTTAAATTGACACAATATACATGTATGCAACACTTAAACGTGTAATCGACAGATTTAAGTACTCAACTCAAGTTTTACCAAAATCCCTTACCATGAACCCATAAAATACATGCTAAGAATGTGACAAATCAAGTTGTTCTATTTCTGAACATGATTTAATGTCTTTTGTTATCATGATTTAGTGGTTGTTTTATTTCTGATCATGATCTAGTGATTGCTCCTGCTGCTTTTTTTTTTTTTTTTTGCATTCCCGCATGGTTCTTTTTGTAGTGCAGTCACTGTTTTCTAGCAGGAGGAATGCTTTCTAGTGTACAGTTCTGTTTTTTCAGTCATTCACATCAATGATCAGTATATGTAATACATCGCATTTATGTTACTTTTGGCATTCTGAGTATCTACATGTATATATCGAAAAAGGTTTCGTTCAAAACGTTTTTTGATGAAACTGCCTATGTCTACCAAACACGTTACTTCTACTTTATACACTTAACATTCTTGTGTATTGTCATGATCATTGAATTGATGCTTATAATGATGATGTAGCCGCCATACACACATGTATACACGTATGCATGTCAATACATGCAATGTACATACATTGTACACTTATTGGTATAATTATACATAAAATATATTTATATGCAATTATTCAATCATAATAATATTTGGAAATAAAGTAGTTAACATTCTATTGTATTCTGTGTTATGCTTGGCAAATTTCCTGTGTGTTAATCAATGTCCACTTTGCAATATTATTAGTATATTTCGCAATACTATTTCGCAATACGAACGCGCCTTATATTGTCGGAAGTCCTCGAGAATTATTCATTCCTTTAGTTAGTAACCAACTTGTTTACAAATGGTTGAAGAACGGTGCCTTTCGATTGACTTTTTATTGGGTAAGTTCATGCAGTATGTATACAACACCGATGCACGAAGTGAATAACATAACGTACAGCTACAGATGTTACGTAGCAGCACCCTTCCAGTTACCTCCATGATTTCTAGCAAATTACTCAAGTGGGGATTGATTACTAAACGATACTCATCCTCTTCTTCCTCATCTTCTCCTTTCCCCCTCTTCCATCATGTGATAATGGAAGGCCGAATTCATGTCATTGTATTTTTCTCTGGGCATAAGTTCTGAAATGATCTCACTTACCTATTTGACAGTCTTTTTGTTGTCAGAGTTGTTTTGATAAAAAAAAATGTAAAAGGCCTAGCAGACAGACACTCTACCAGTGGAGTTACCTGGTCGCCAATGATCAACCCAGTCCAGTTCTGCTACACTTTCTAAAATAGGAGATGGATACAGTCTACTACAGTAGTTATTTTCGACCATATAAGCATTTTCATTCTATAGATGGCTCAATCAGCATAGCTGTCATTCTATACCATATCCTCCCTCTGAGGAGGGGTAGTTTTTTGTTGTGAATCTTGTAGCCTGCTTTAGCTTAACCCATTCACCCCTAAAGACACATTTGAACTCGTCCAATACAAAGGTTGGAATAGTTCATTATGAAATTAAAGGGGTAAATGAGTTAAGCTTCTGGACTCTTTCCATCATCTCAATGCGTTAGGACTCTTTCCATCATCTCGATGCGTTAGACTTTATTTAAATGGTCAAACAGTTTACGCTGTACTACCTCAGTGTGCCTATACCATTATGGGATAAACTTCATATTTTTTTATGTAGATATGTTTATACAGGTAATAGTTTATGTCACAAATTTATAGCTTCAAATAATTAATTCAGTATTAATGACTTGCAGGATGTCTTGCATATTAAAAACATATGACATATAGGCCTAGCTAGTTATTGATGTCATCATGACTGAGTGAAACAGCTGTACCAGTTCAGATTTGGATCACATTTAGATCTACTAGAAGATCTGAGCCACTTTTTTCCTACAATTTTATTTCTTTCTGATTTGGAATCGAAATAAACATGCTTTTGGCATGTGTCCATGCAATACTTTCCTTATTTATTCACATTTGACAGACAAGGTTTTCAATTCATTATTAACTTTGCTATTTCAGAGATCAAATTTAGGAAATATCATGAAGATGGAGTGCTAATGGGAAAGGACATAGAAGACACATTCGGTCATTTTATCAAAAATCAAGATAATTTAAGATCAGTTCTTATACAATTTAAATCACATATAAAAAACATCAAAAAAAAAAATCATGGAGTCTTTAATTTATTTCATATAATGTGCTGAAATCTTTTACTACCTGGTACACCCAGTACACTATAAGTTTATATAATAAAACCTAAGGGTTACTTTCATTGGATTGTTTCATTGTGTACTTACTGTTTATTTATTTATTTGCAGCTCAATGTTCGTCCAATCAGAAATGCAGGAGAACATACATGTGATAGAGTTCTTAAATCAGGCACATCACTTATGAGTTGTAATGGCTGCCTCTAAACAGGTGGACACTACAGACCAGCAGGAGACACCCCTACCCCTGGGCTGGCAAAAGGCTAAAGCTGTCACGCCCGACCGTAGGGCTCAGTTCTACTATGTCAGTCACAATGACTGCTATACTACTTGGAGTGATCCCAGGATTTGTAAGTATCCTTATTATTATTCTCAAACATGCCTTTATGTTGGCATTATAAAGTTTCTTCTGAAAAAAATATTTATCATTATCACTTTACATGAATTGATTTTGTAACCCATCAATTTGGACAGTTTTTTACTGTTAAAAGTTAATGATAAAAATAAATACCATATTCAAATACCTTTTTAAAGTGGACTTGCTCAGTCTATGATTTAAGGTCCAAATGTGACTTAAGGGGTAAATGGGTTTAAGAGCATGCATTTCTATTCAAAACCTTACCTTTCACACTAAAGCTAGGTAAAGTCCTCTAATATCATTACAAGACCTATACTTTCCTTAAACAAATGAAATTCACAAGGAATAAATGTATTGGCTTAAATAAAACTGAATTCTTACGTACTTATAAAAATATCAAAAGTATAAATAAAATATTGTTCCAATCTTCATGTAAGGTTCTTCGATGTCACAGCATTCCTTATAACTTCTGTCATCAATTATTTCGAACCATGAAGCCAAAATTCTTGATTTGTTGCCTGTAGCAAGCTTGCTAATGCATCCTCGATACTCCAGGGGGTACACTCACTTTTTGATCTCTGCTCACCTGCAATATGTCAGGAGCAAAATTGAAGGCATGTGGCTAGCTATTTGATTGGTCTCAGGAAAAAAACCCTGACCAATCGCCAGGCTGATACCTGTACATGTCCTTTGATTTGAAGATTACAGAGGAGCAACACCCAACTTCAAAGCCTGACCACTTTTATCCGACCGACAGATTCTTTTCATGTACATCAAGTGATCAAACTAGTCTTCTCGTCTCATCCACAAGCTTGTGCACACTGAGCCTTCAATTTAGCTATGACATATTCTAGGGGTGCAGAGAGCGAAAGTAAGCCTAACCCCTGGAGTATCGAGGATGGCTGAAGGGCCATCAAAATATATTTAAATAAGTTACCTTGAACTAAACTTCAGGGGTCAAATGTGTTAAAAACAACTTCTTCTTCTGATGATGAGGCTTAGAGTCATAATATTTGACCTACAAGTTACATACATTGTTGAAGACTGGCTGTAAATTAAATGAATGGCTGTGTCATATTTCAAGATCAGTCTTGTTCAGATTAAAACAGAACTATCAGGCCTTCATTCGTGATCTGTAGCTGAGTTGCTAGGGTAGAGAAGTTAAAAACCCTCTTAATTTTGTTTGAAGGCAGTTAAGTAACTTTGACCCACTTTGACGGTCATACAGGTCAAACATGTTAATTAGTTATAACAACGCTTGTAAGAACCATGAGGCCGAGAGTCATGGCATTTAGCCTGTAGCTGGCTGATGTGAATGAATATCAGATAAAAGTTAAATGAAATTGCTTCACTCTCAAAGCCATAGCTAGATGTCTTAATTATGATATTCCTATGTCTTCTTAATAATAATGATAATATACAACATTTGATAAAGTGCCCTATCTAGTTATAATAAGCCACTCTAAAACGCTTTAAAACTATTGGGCATGATATCATTATATTAGGCTTGCTTGCTGTAATATTAATGGTAGGCTATTGTATCATAACACACTTAAAAAAAAATGAGCAACGTTCAGAACTATAAAGTCGTAAAGAGTCAAAATATTTGATCTGTAACTTGCTAAATTTAATCATTTCTTTATTAAATGTATTTGACTAACCCTATTAAATAACCGACAAGTACAACAGGACCCTTGGGTTTACATTTTTAATTGAATAGTAATGAGGCTATTTGATGTTACAGATGACTCAGAACCAGTCCAGCAAGGTTTGTTTCTAAATCTTTACCATTTTGTCAATCATGTCAAACTGAACTGTGAACATTTTCCAATTCTTTGATATTAGAAAGTTATTAATTTGGGTTTGTCTGTCTGTCTGTCACGCTTCGTTTCCGTACAATAACTGCAACAAATGTTAACCAATTTTCTTCAGACTTGATAACAGGGTTAAATGCCTTAAGAGCTCGACCAAGTTCGACAACCACTTTAATCGGAATCCATTTTGCAGAGTTATGGCCCCTTGATTTNACAAAGGGCAATAACTCTGTAAGTTACTGTTAAATAATTCCCAGTTTCGAACTCATCCGAGATCTTTTGATATAAGGCTACATACAGAGTTTCATCAAACTTCTTTTTTTTTTACATTTCATTTTTTTTTATTGATTTTCATGTGAACAATTACATTAAGACCAGAGACAAAACATTACATTGCATAACAATTCATTACATTACAATACCCATAGGATTATATACATGCTTGACTTCAACATGAGCACTGCTAAATTTGGGAACATCAGAAATTACACTCTGCACTGATTTTTTTTCTCTCTTTAATATACATATTTATTAACATGCCCTCACATACCTCCACCTTCATCGGTGATTTAGTTGGATCTAAACACAATAGTTTCAGAATAAAATATGCAAGTTCATTTTGAAGCAATTTGTTCACCTAGTTTCTTCCAAGTTTTTTTAACAGCGCCCATATTAAATTTAATTTTTAACTTAGCTTTTGCTATAGATAAGTACACTTAGACGAATAGACATACAGCAAGACCAATTTCCATCATCAGTGCAATATTCATTACCATACCGACAAAGACTTTGTTTATATTTTACTTTGTTCCTCCCTTTCGGATAAAGCATGCCATCCTCCCCACCTTGTAAGGAATTTTGTGTATTCATTTCTTGATTTATACACAATCTTTTCTACCTCATAGTATTGACATATGTGTGATTTTAAGACTTCAAAACACACATAAATTTTCTTAACTCTACAGTGATAGACATATTGCTTAAACAGCAGCGACATCATATTAATCATACCATTATGGCGACCATGAAGACCTAGCAGTAAATTCCTTAAAATTTGATAACAATGTTTGTGTTCCTCTGTCTTTCCACTCATCTCAGGCACTCTTTGGTTTTTGTGTGATAATTGCTGTAGATATTGTGCAGATATATCAACCAAATTCTGTATCCACATCCGACTCATGCTAAGTTTGCCAACCGATGTCATTTGTGCATATTTAGAGATAAATAATGAGGTTAGTAAATTCTGATAGATTAAACGATTTATTTACACCGTAATTAATACCTACATGTTCAATAAAAAGTCTAACTTCTGTATAAAGCTTTTTTCGAGTTTCAAGCTATACATTATGTCTCAACAGCACAATACTCACGTGTTTAAACCTAACCTCAATAATGTTTACCTACAATATGCCCTGCAAGCGGGAGATATAAATTCCACGAACTTGCTTGTTTACCATTAGAACAAGTTTGTGAACCACTCTTGCATGCGATCATAATTTATTGATTTATGGCGTTTTATGGATTTGGACACACTGGCCCTCTCAGTATCTATAATCATGAACAGATTGAGTTTGAAATTTATCAGATTGTTATTTACCATTAAAGCTTCAAAAAGGCTGACAGTCACTATTAATTGTAAGACCTTGAAAGATCTAAAAGTTTGATAATCCTTTTTTTAGAGTTGAGCATCATTTTGGTAATATCATTATCCTTCGTGGATTTGAGTGGACAGTGTCTGCTCAATATTTGGAGTAATTATTAACTAATTAACATCAAAATTTATAAAAAGTTTAATTACCATGCAAGCTTGGATAAGTTTGATAATCACTTTGTCTGTCAATAATTTTTCAAGTTATGAACACTTAATTATGCTAAAATGTTATTTTTACTTAAAATGTAAATTATAACTGGTATTTTATGAACTGCAACTGACTTCAAACGTCATAACACTTAGGTTTATATACAAGAAAACCTTCAGAAAGGCTGATAAACATTATTAAAACATTTGACTCATAGTACATGACAGGTGTATGTCGCACAGCTTCACGGCAACCAAGTTCAAGATACGTTTGTAATAATTTGTTTACAGAGCAGTCTGTGCTAGAGTACATAATAAGAGCGTATGACTTTATCAATGCTGAATATGGTGACAGGGACCGCCAACAACAAGAGTTTTACAAATATTATCAGCATTGTACTCAAGTGGGGAATGAGGAAAGCATTCGGGCTTGTCTTAACGCCTTGCAGGAACAGATTTGTGTCAAGAATTTCCCTCCACCACATTCAGTACCGGAAGAGATGGTTGCCAATACGTTTAAACAACTTCAAAGTGTGATACAGTAAGGCCTTTGATCATGACCAAGTTATCATGTGAATTTAGATTATAATTCATAAAATATGTATTTTTTTGTTACTCTTTGCATGTACATATACTGACGGCGAATTGAATTATTGCTAATTTCTATGTTGACTCGATCAACTATAGATCATCCAATAGTGATTGTTGTTTCATACAATTTCAAATTCCTAGAAATATGTAAATGTGTGATTTATTGTGAATCTCAACCCTTGGAGACAGATTCTAAAGTTACCAAACATCGAAGCTTATCTAAGTTATTGTGAGTCTCAACCCTTTGGGAAAGATTCTGAAATCACCAAACATGAGTCTAATAATCTCCCCCTTGTGTTAAGATTTCATTTCTTATTCCAAATCAATTAATATTTACCACTAATGCTCAAAACACAGTAAAAATGGAGGATGAAAATGACTTATTCTTCATGACTACTTACAGAGTGTGTATACGAGAGGGACGGGTCACACAGGAAACCTGTCAGGACTTGTTGTTTGAATTCCTCCTGAATTTGTTACGGTACGGACCGGGATCGTCTGCCTCTTACTTCATTGAGGAAAGATTGATCAGTACGGAACACATGGAGGAGTACTTGAAGGTAGGCAAATGCCAACCTTCTACCAAATCTTATCATATAAATACAGGAGCTTACTTCATGACCATTTATATGATATTTACACACTTGCCAACTCTTTGTATTTAGGAGTGAGACTCCCGATTTGTGGACCCTTAGATTTAGTATATTGCTATATTCTAAGATATTTTGATTTCCTCTGAAAGAACAACTCAAATTATATTATTTTAAAGTGTTATTTTATCCCTATGTACGGTCAATTTATTTATGAATCTCCCCAATGGAAATTTAAAAAGGTTGGCAAGTATGAATTTATTAAGAAAAGTCCAAGGTTTTTCCTCCGATGACCTATAATGAAGAATTAGTGACGAGTATCTTATACATTTCATATGAAATGGAAATGAATGTGAAATTCACTGTTTACATAACCAAGGTTTATTGTAAATATTTTGAACATTAAAACAACATCTTTCTCATACTGACATTTGAAGCAATGGGAACCAACAGCCAATCAAAGCTTTTCTAGGTGTTTCTAAACAGGTTTTTATAGCACAATTTAACAAGGTAGTTTTGATAAATTCAGTGATATCCACTTTCTGATGAAAGGCTATTAATGCTACGGAACTGTTCAATTTTCATGGACATAAACACATTATTCAACTCTATGAAATCGCTCTCGACCAAAAGGTAGTGTTTAATGTACACAGATATTACATACATTGTAAAGATGTTTTTGAGGACAAGTGATAAGAGAAAATTAAATTCAGGTATATAGCAAAAGTGGAAAGGGGTGGGGGGGCGGGGTCCAAAATGGCCCTTCCTTTGATTTTAATTTTCTTTTGTTGAGATGTAGACCTAAACTTTATCACAACAAAAACACCAACCAAAATTCAAATGAGCACTTGGTTCGTTTTCTCAAAAAGTCAGTTTTTTCCCAAAAGATAAATGTTGTCAAACTAATAATGCATTGAAGGATCATTTTTGATGAAATTCTCAAAAAGTCAGAGTTTTTTCCCAAAAGATGAATATTGTCAATTTAATAATACATTGAAGGATCATTTTTGGTGCAACCAAAACTAGGGATCAAAAAAATCAAATGCTACAGTATACATATAAAAATCTGTTGCTATGGTGAGTTATCAGACATTTACAGACAAATCAACAGCTGGAAGCCATCTCAAGCAATGATATTTTCAGACAAAAAATGTGTTCATCTTAGAATAGTAGTCTCTTATAACTTTTGTATACCAAAAATATTTTGATTATGGAAGGACTAGGTCATGAACTACCAGTGACAAAAATATCACTCCCAAATATGTGGTGGAACATATTCAAAGAAGGGATCAAATGACCATATGGTCTATACATCAGAATTCATGGCTATGTGTATATAGTCTAATCATTATGACTAAAAACTGACAGAAAAGAAGAAAATATTTGTTCCAGTTTAGATGGAATGAATATTTAATCAAGAGAGAATATGTTTGGAAAAGATTCGTTGGTTTGTTCCTTTTCAAGATGGCCACCAAAACATTCATTCTACTGCCTAATCAGTTGTCAGATTCCCAGACAATTTTCTTGCAATAGCAATGGAATTCAGAGATTGTATGTTTGTTTGTTACTTTGTTTTTATATATTTATCAAAGTTAGACACCGCTGATGACATTTACAGATAATATTTTGTGAGATGCAAGAGTATGATATGTGTTCGAATGACAGACTTGGAAGAAAAAATGATGCGAGGCTTTGAGTTTCTTTTCAACCTGGTGATTCTAGATTCACAAGAAAACTACTTATTTCTAGCTTTGTCGGAACTGCTTAGCCCTTGGGTGTAACTGTTTTGGATTTTGAAGATTTCTATGATAATAAGATAATAAATGTATGAGCACACATTCCCATAGTTCTTTGACCAACTGGGCATTGGCAGTAGTAACCTTTGGATTTTTATCATTTGGTGTCGTGCTGTACTGATCCAAACATTATGTTTAGTCTGGTTTTTGTGTCTGGAACAAATCTGACAACAGATGAGGTTTAATGAGAGTGCTGATTCACCCATATTTCATAATCTTTACTAATTCTGACTTTGCCCTCTTGCAGAGAGCTGGTTGTTTTCACCCTCTGGGCCAAACAGTTTGTTTTTGTAAGTAGAAACTTCATTTGACGTGCAAGTTCTGTCTTTACTGTCAGTTTCTGATGATCTTTGAAATTTTGTTCCCTGTATCCAATTGAGACATGCAGTCACAATCTCTAGTACTTCCTCAAATATATCAATGAAGCGTTTTGATATTAGTTGAGTTCTAAAAAATATCCAACTCTTAAGACGGTCATGCAAAGACTCTACAATCCATCGGGATTTAGTAACTGTTCTGCCAATGTTAGCCTGTAGATCAGAGTGTTGTCTCTGACCAGCCTTAAGATATGAGTGCATACTGGTATTAATACCAGATGCCTCTAACATTGACAGGACATATCTAAAACCATTATCAACGACTACATTGTCGTCTTGCTCCGACCATGTGAGTTTGTCTATGATGTTTTTGTAATGCTTGCATCATATTGGCTTCCAGAGAATGGTCCTACTGTGTCCAAAATGTATAAGCCATCAGGTAGAGCTATGCTCATGAATTTAAGATAATTACGGTCCTTCTGGCTACCGTAAGACATTCTCTGAAGCTTATTGACAGCACTTTTTTTAATGTAAATATATGTACCATTTATTAGGCTATTACTTTATCTCCAAAGAATGTTTCTGAGAATAAAGTATTGTGTGAAAGTATATGTTCCCTACTCAAATGGTCAGGACCAAGAAACACTGGAACAAATATAATGTATTTAATGAGTAGGAAATATCCCCTAGAAGCAATGTAAAACGAAACAGCTGATGATAAAAATTTTAAAAAATGATAACAAAATGAATAACAACAAATTCTAAAAAGTGGCAAGAAAATTAAGTTTGATCTCAAAATTGATTATTAACAAAACCTTTGTCAATAAAGCCAAGTGATGAAATAAATTGGAATTTGGATTTTTTGGTGACCTTACATTCACTGACAGGTTTATTGTAGGCTTGCAACGAATTTCATTACCAATTACCTGTAATCAGGTGCATTGCTTTTTAGGAGACCCCAGGAAGGTGTCTTAGGCCCTCACCTTTTTGGGTACATAGGTTACTTTGTTTAGCTGGAAATAGTCCCTTTTCACATTTGGAAATGTTTGCGTCATAGTTCTTTAAACTTAACGTGATGTGGAAACTAATTAAGGCATTGGCAATGGTTCTAAAATCTACATAATTTATCTATGATTTATTTAATTTATTTCATTTATATAATTTATAAATCAATATTTGTCTGTGAATAGTTTTGTACTAATAAACTTAAAATGAAAAACATGAGCATTTCCACACCACCACCATTTCTACTGTTACAGTATTCAAAGCTTACAGATTTTTAAGTAAATTTTTTTAGGCTTTGAAAGGGGAAGGACTTACCAGAATTAATGACAGTTTGAAGGAGTGGCATTATGTACCTGAGGATCCTAAGAAATTTTTGTACCAATCACATTCTCACTACTGGGGAGTCTTTATCTACAAACTCATCAAAATCATCCTTGGGTAAGCAATTAACACTAGATTTTTTTTTTCTCAGTGGATTGACCTGTATAAGGTTTGGAAATCATTACAAACTAATTCTATTTCAGTCATAGGAAAATTAGTAACATTTTATTATGTAGGTATGTTGAGAAAGGCACTGATCATGAACCATGGTAGACATATTCAAGGGTGCAGTGTGTTTTGTTAACCATTGATACAGTACCTACGATATACTGACGAGCGACAGGGGGGTGGGGTAGGAGGGGATATAGGAATCACCCTGTCCGTCCATCTGTCCATTATCCTTACTGGCTTGTAAGCACAACTGCTCCTTAACCATGTGTTGGATATTTTTGTAATTTGACACAGTGAAAGCACACCTTATGTAGATGTGGATGATGAAAGGAATTTGCAATTTGACTATTTTTCTTCTGCTCCAGAAACCTTGTAAACGCAACTCCTCTTTCACTGTTTTTTTGATTTTTTGGTAACTTGGTAGTGTTAAACTACATCTTATGTACATGTGCATGAAGAACTGAATTTGTGATTCAACTCTTTTTGCTAGAGTTATGACCCTTGGAACTTTAACTTCTGCTCCAGAAATCTTGTAAGTGCAAGCGGGGGGTATATCTATGTGAGCTCGCTCCCTGTTTGAATTGTTTGGTAGTTATCAGGATAAGAATTTCTAGCTGATTTACTACACTAAACTCCTATAATACTACTTTTGATAGTGGATGTATGATATCAGGGTTAATATGTAAACTTGGTATAATTCCCAAATTTTCAGTAACTACAAAAGTGACAAAGTTTATGACCCAGAGATTCATCAACAGTTTCTGGATCTGTACCTGTTCTACTTCACACAAATCACGGAGGTACCAGATGATTTTGTCTCCCATTTACAGTATGCAATGAAGAGGATAGCGACAGCTTACCCTGGCAAACATAATGAGAACCCATATCAGGTAAGATTTTTAGCTCACCTGGCCCGTAGGCCGTCCAGCATCAACTTTTTTCTTTAAACAACTTCTTCTGAATCACCAGAAGGCCCAGGATGATGATATTTAGCCAATAACATGCTGGGATGAAGGGCTATTAAGTTTGTTCAAATTAATGACCTTGACTTATATTCAAGGTAACAGTGGTCAAATATTTTTAAAATCTTTCAAATAACTTCTTCTGAATAACCATAAGGCCCAGAATGTTGATATTTGGTAAGTGGCATGCTTGGATGAAGGGCTATCAAGTGTTTTCATTTGAATGACCTTGATCCACTTTCAAGGTCTTATTTGGTTTAATGTGTACACACCTATAAATGACCTAATCTCGGTAAACAAAAGGTCTAGTGTGGTGATAATTTGCAAGTTACATGCTTAGATGAAGGCCTATACAGTTTGTTTAACATAATGACCTTGTTTGTCTTTCAAAGTCACAGGGGTAAAATGTGTTTAAATCTGTTAACAGGTTCTTTTGAATGACTTATAGTCATAAATACTGATATTTTGCCTGAAACTTTATTTTAGTCCACTTTAAGGTTACAGTTTTGAGATTAATACTAGGTGAGTGATGTAGGCTCATTGGGCCTCTTGTTTTCTGTTGTAGTTTAAACATGACCTGTCATATCATCAATGTTATCACTAGAAGACTTTCTTTATGAATTCACATGACTTCAACCATAACATATGTGAACTTCTACTATGTACATGTATTCATAAGACTTTTTGTTTGGTGGTAACAGACGAAATACTAAGACAAACTTAAACAGTGGATATTGATGAATACAAACATAATGTAAGAGTTCCAGCATGCATGATGATAGACCTGTTCATAAGAATTTATTGTAGTCCTTGGGTGATTTTCTCTGGATCAATTTTTTTTATAGGACTTGGTTTAATTTTGATAATTTTTCCGATTAATTCCTTAAGAATTTGACCTCTACGATGGTGATGTCTATGAGCCATAAAATAGAGGACTGATCACATGACTTAAGGTTTTGTCCGATAATGATAGACAAGTACAAATTAGGTGGCAGTTTTAAAACTGATGCTAGAAAAGAAAAATTCAACAGCCTGTATCAAAAACTTATTTTTATGCAAGAACCGCTGTATCACAAAAAGAAAATTGATTAAACAAAGGAGCCTTCTTGTAAGCAATTAATGTGTTGAAGACATCATCTATTAAACAAAATTGAAGAAAGATGCACCTTCATAAGCATACAATTGATTTAACAAAGGCACCCTCTAGTAAACAGGGAGTTGATAAGACCCTTTTATAAACAGGAATTTGATTAAACAAAGACTTAATTTGTTTTGATAAAGGAATCAGTGAGCACAGATAATAATGACATAATTAATTAAGGATCAGTAAAACAAAAAGTTGCAACTAAATGATTATTGTTTCCTCTTGAACAGGTTCTTCAAAAGCCAGACATTCTCCGGAGACATTGGCAAACTGTAGGAGACACAATAAGCAGTGATAAGTTTCAAGAAAAGCATGATGATATATCTATGGACATAGTCAGAAATATGGTCGACTGTATAATGTAAGTATGTAACAAGTGTGTGTAAGTATGTAACAAGTGTGTGTAAGTGTGTGTTAGTATGTAACAAGTGTGTGTAAGTATGTAACAAGTGTATGTAAGTATGTAACAAGTGTATGTAAGTATGTAACAAGTGTGTGTAAGTAAGTAACAAGTGTTTACTTTAGTATGTAACAAGTGTGTGTTAGTATGTAAAAAGTGTGTGTAAGTATATAAGTATGTAACAAGTGTGTGTAAGTATGTAAGTATGTAACAAGTGTGTGTAAGTATGTAACAAGTGTGTGTTAGTATATAACAAGTATGTGTAAGTATATAACAAGTGTGTGTAACTATGTAACAAGTGTGTGTAAGTATATAACAAGTATGTGTAAGTATATAACAAGTGTGTATAACTATGTAACAAGTATATGTAAGCATATACCAAGTGTGTGTTAGTATGTTTATTGTTTTGTTTTGTTTTTGTAGAGAAAAAAGGTGGACAGTTGTTTTATTGGATGACATCATAGAGCTTATGAAGAGATACTTTCTTACCAATCATGGTCACATGCATAAAGTGTTATCAAGGATTTTACATCTTTTGACAGAAACAACAGAGAAGACCTATGATGTAAGTTGATTTTTAATCAAAACTTTGTAGCAGAACCCAGATACAATATACTTTGATATGTTTTCGTTCAGTAACCATTACCATGTATTGTCTAGGAAACCATTACCTTGTATTGTCTAGGAAACCATTAACTTGTATTGTCTAAGAAAACATTACTTTGTATTGTCCAGGAAACCATTACCTTGTATTGTATAGGAAACCATTACCTTGTATTGTATAGGAAACCATTACCTTGTATTGTCTAGGAAACCATTAACTTGTATTGTCTAAGAACCCATTCCTTTGTATTGTCCAGGAAACCATTACCTTGTATTGTATAGGAAACCATTACCTTGTATTGTCCAGGGAACCATTACATTGTATTGTCTATGAAACCATTACTTTGTATTGTCCAGGAAACCATTACCTTGTATTGTCTAGGAAACCATTACCTTGTATTGTCTAGGAAACCATTAACTTGTATTGTCTAAGAAACCATTACTTTGTATTGTCCAGGAACCCATTACCTTGTATTGTCTAGGAAACCATTACCTTATATTGTCTAGGAAACCGTTTCCTTGTATTGTCGAGGAAACCTTCAAGATACTCACAAGGATATGATTATGTCGGAATTGTTGGATTCTAGACAGAAGCAGTCCATAATGTTCCACAGAAATAAGGATTTGTATACCACCTATAAATGAAGTTTTGGGGGTATATAGGAATCACCCTGTCTGTCCGTCCATCTGTTGGTCATTGCCACCAGTACATGTAGGTCTTACCTTACTCAACGTAACCAATACATTTCTAACCCAAAGAAAGAACAAGTTCTTCAATCATAGTAAGGTATTACATTTTTGTTGGAATATAATGGTGTTTTTGAATATGGAAGTGTTCCTGATTTACACAACAAATAACAAAGAATGTAGGATGAATTCTGAGAATTTATTAACAAGTCTGCAGATAAGGGGTGCCTATCACCTCCCTTGGACCTGATGGAGAATAGCCGATAAGCTATTGAACCCGTGGTGCGACCCTGTAGTGCTGGAAGAGCAGGGTGCTGAAAAGCTGTGGCCAACAACCCGGTTCGAACATGGACTTGGACGACTGTGACTGACCCAAAGCTCATGGAAAACCATAGCCTGGTCACTTAAATGTCTGGAAGTCGGCTAGAGTTGGGAGTCACATCACTTAGGCCTGGAGTTCAACTTAATGTCTTACCCTAGGCCATATAGAGTTGATGTATATACATTCCAGCTTTTTAACCCTAGGTTCTGGAGTTGGATTGACCGATTTGGGGTGTATAGCAGCAGACTGGCACCATTAATAATCCATGTTACATGTTATTACATGATGACAGTTTACTGCCATAGGCCGAAATAGTGAAGAGTGAAGCTGTTTCAGTTGACCGATGGTCAACCAAGGGAGGAATGATACAGTGACAGGCAACCAATAAACATAATAAAGGTGGTGGTGGGGGAGGAGGATGGTATGACTGTGTAACTTGACCATCAGAAAACAACTGGGCAGTTGGCTAGAACTGTTAGAACAAAGAGCACTTGTCATGTGACCCCGATAGGTCCTAGGATTGGATCTCATACTCTTTCCCTTATCAGTAAGGAACCAATACCCAATATAGCACATGTAAATTAGGCAAAGAGAGGAGACCCTCTGTTTACTGGGTTGCTGTCAGGACAGCGAGGTTATGGAAGGTCAGAATGCCCAGCTGGCTGAGCTTGAGATAAGAATAAGTTAGGTAGGGAGAGGAAACCCTTTGTTTACTGTGTTGCTGTCAGGTGAGTGGTGTTATGGAAGGTCAGAATGCCCAGCTGGCTGAGCTTGAGATAAGAATAATCCTGACCCCTGCCTCACCAACTGGCTGGATGCATGTCCTTTCTAAGACCGGTGATCATGACCCGCAGACAGGGGAGACGTCTTGTGATAAGACCGTCTAGCATCCAGATGGTCCTGTGAACTGATATTTATGTTGATAGGGAACCGATGGACCATATATACATTCTATACTACATCTTCTCAGATGTTTACTTATAATGAGATGAAAGCAGATGAAAGGCAGACCCCTTCTATGCTGTGCAAACCTGCCTAATATTTCATGTTAGACTTTAATTAATTTGATGGTGTCTTAAGTAATCGTTGATTAACAACCAGGTCTGTTAACTTTTTCAGGAAAATCCTCAGATCATGAACAAAATGCTTGCAATGTTCCAAGAAATCTTGCAGAAGAAGCCTGAACATATGCCGTGGGCATACTATTATGTCACGGTCTTGAGTGACAAGTCCAGTGCAAGGTAAAGTAGACTAAGTATTGCATACACAAATTAATAATATTTTCACATATCATCAACTGAATTTAACTGTATTATTACTTTCATGTAAACCTAAGTTAATAAGTTAATAGTAAATAAGTTATAAATACTCTGTTGATATCATTTTGCAGGAAGGGAACAGAACAGGTATGGTTTCCACTCATGAAAGTACTTATGAGAACGATGCACAGGAAAGGCGTGTACCGGTGCCATGATACATTCAGACAGCAAAAATTTAAGAAGATTTGGAATTGGAAAGTAAGACATTTGTGTTGCTGTAAATATATGCAAGATATAGAAATTTCATGTACTTCATAGTGGTAAAAATGTAATGTAATATCAGCAGATATACACAAGCTCAAAATCTTAACTTCATATGCTGTGACCGTGGAAATAAGTAGGGGTTAGTGATTTATTTTTTGTATTTGCATATTGCAACTTTGGACTATTTTTATTTTCAGCAAAATTACCAAGAGGCCCTAGATATCATTGAACCTATAGGAGAGGCACACCTACACTTAAACGGAGATGACAAAGACGAAAGGTTTTTAGAAAACTGCGGGAATACAATCCGCACACTTCTGGATCAGTTCAAGTTTGTATACTTTGTGTCTATCACATGTTGTTTTATTTGATCTCTGTAAAAAAGATACACTCTTACAGTGTTTGATTATTGACAATTTACATTATGTATACTTCTGAGTGTCTGATCCTATATTATGGTTCAGCACCTGTTCTGAGTGTCTGATCCTATATTATGGTTCAGCACCTGTTCTTAGTGTCTGATCCTATACTATGGTTCAGCACCTGTTCTTAGTGCCTGATCATATACTATGGTTCAGCACCTGTTCTTAATGTCTGAACCTATACTATGGTTCAGCACCTGTTCTTAGTGTCTGATCCTATACTATGATGGTTCAGCACCTGTTCTTAATGTCTGATCCTGTACTATGGTTCAGCACCTGTTCTTAGTGTCTGAACCTATATTATGGTTCAGCACCTGTTCTTAGTGCCTGATCATATACTATGGTTCAGCACCTGTTCTTAGTGTCTGATCCTATACTATGGTTCAGCACCTGTTCTTAGTGTCTGATCCTATACTATGGTTCAGCACCTGTTCTTAGTGTCTGATCCTATACTATGGTTCAGCACCTGTTCTTAGTGTCTGATCCTATACTATGGTTCAGCACCTGTTCTTAGTGTCTGATCCTATACTATGGTTCAGCACCTGTTCTTAGTGTCTGATCCTATACTATGGTTCAGCACCTGTTCTTAGTGTCTGATCCTATACTATGGTTCAGCACCTGTTCTTAGTGTCTGATCCTATACTATGGTTCAGCACCTGTTCTTAGTGTCTGATCCTATACTATGGTTCAGCACCTGTTCTTAGTGTCTGATCCTATACTATGGTTCAGCACCTGTTCTTAGTGTCTGATCCTATACTATGGTTCAGCACCTGTTCTTAGTGTCTGATCCTATACTATGGTTCAGCACCTGTTCTTAGTGTCTGATCCTATACTATGGTTCAGCACCTGTTCTTAGTGTCTGATCCTATACTATGGTTCAGCACCTGTTCTTAGTGTCTGATCCTATACTATGGTTCAGCACCTGTTCTTAGTGTCTGATCCTATACTATGGTTCAGCACCTGTTCTTAGTGTCTGATCCTATACTATGGTTCAGCACCTGTTCTTAGTGTCTGATCCTATACTATGGTTCAGCACCTGTTCTTAGTGTCTGATCCTATACTATGGTTCAGCACCTGTTCTTAGTGTCTGATCCTATACTATGGTTCAGCACCTGTTCTTAATGTCTGATCCTATATTATGGTTCAGCACCTGTTCTTAGTGTCTGATCCTATACTATGGTTTGTGAAGTCACATCATTGTTGAGCCATATCATTGTGACGTCACGTCACATGATATAGGGTGCAAGAGAGAAATTTCTTACACCCCTTTCTTACCCTGGACAGCTCTATCTTACCCACATGGAAATGAGGGAGAAAAACACCTTTTTCTTTTAAAACTCAATTTGTAATTTTATAAGCATTTTGAGAATTGTTGACTTTATATTCCAGGATTGCAAAGGTTCCAGAGAAGCTGAATGGACGCGCAGCTGAATTGGCCATGACCTTTATGGAGAAAAGGTCAAAACAACTGAGTAAATTTGTTGAGATATTTATCAGAGATATCAAACTGGAGGTGAGTTATCAGTTATCCACTAATTTCATACAGCAGTTTTGGCTGTATTACAGTTAAAAAACAGGAGCATCGTCATTTCTGTGTCCACTCTTTGGAAAAAATACTGTTTGCAGTTCATCTGTCCTTTTTTCTCTCACACATTGATTTCTGACGAAGAAATTGCTTCTCTGACAATAAACTTCCTAAATACTTATGGAATTCAACCACTTGTTGTATATTTATATACTGGTAAATATCATTATAAGTTTGAAAATGAGAAGAATCTGTGCATATTTAATTAGAATGTCTTGTGAGCTTGATCCACTACCTACAGACCTATTGCTTTCAATGTCTTCAAGCACTGCTTCCTTTGATTATCTCAACCATGAACAAATCATTGGCTGAGTCAAAGGTTCCATTGTGTTTCAAGAAGGCACAATGTTAGGCCATTGTTGAAGAAGCCTGGAATAGACAAGTAGGAGTTGAAGAACTACCGACCAGTATCAAATCTACCTTTTCTGTCTAAGATCTTGGAGAAGGTTGTGTCTCGGCGTTTAAAGATTCATCTCCATGCAAACAGTCTCCATGACAACCTGCAATCAGCCTACCGCATGGGACACTCTACTGAGACGGCCCTCCTACAAGTACATAATGACATAGCTTCTGCATTGGATAACAAGTGCAGAGTGGTGCTTGTCGTGCTGGACTTGTCAGCTGTATTTGACATCATCGACCATGGCATACTTTATAAACGTCTCGAATACTCTTATGGTGCGACTGATACCGCACTATACTGGATACAGTCTTATCTGAGTGAACGACGATAGTGTGTTGCCATCGGATCTACCAACTCACATGACAAAGTACTAGATTTCAGGGTTCCTCAAGGGTCGGTGTTAGGACCAAGACAATATTGGATGAACGCCAACATGCTAAAGCTTAATCAGGATTTTTTGCATATTTAGATATGTTAGGGGTACTCTTTGATTCTGATTGGCCAACAGATTTTAGATAATGACTAGAAAATGTTTGATTCAGTCAAACTTGGCAGGTGCTTACATAGTGAGAATGCTCAGACTATGTTGGAAGATCATTAATTGGAATTTACATGTCCATTTTCAATTTTGATGGATCTCCACAATCTGCAACTGGTACTATTCCTTACATGTATGTGCATCAACCAAGTACAAGACTTTATCAGTGTATTGTTCTCATTTGAAGTATTCTGTAAACCATCATAATGAGGGTTTTGTAATCATACTATAATGTAAGTATTTTCTTCTAGTTTTCCATTTATGTTATATATAATACTTGTATATGATAATCTATTCATTTCAAAATTTCATTGAGGACTCTCTTGTCCAATGTTTATCAACTTGCTTGGAATTTCTTTGCAAGAACATCAATGTACAAAAAAACACTTGAACTATAAGTAGAATTAACATCTTAAACAGTATATCTGTTTCCAACTGGTGGAATTGCTCAGCCTAAAAGATTGAATATAGGATTAATATTTAAAACAGACATTCACTGATGCCTTGTTAAATTTTAGGGAAACCAGGATGTGATTCCTGGCCTGATGAAGAGATTTGCAGTACTCTTCTATGACAGAGACTACATGTTGGATGATTATAACAACTTTTTGTTTGGATGCAACTTCATGGAGAATGCCATAGAAGCCTACAGGTATATAACCAGTATGAAATTGTTCGGCATGTCATAATTACAAACAAATTGACCTCAAATTCAATATAAAAAGACCAGATTAAGAACAAAGTCTACAAGTCACTGAGAGAGAAATATCACCACAATCTGTGGTTGTAACTGCACCATATTTGGCATCCATTGTGATGTCTGCTAGCTGATAAATAAAGGAAGTTTCGTTGAATACTGTAGAATGCTGTACAGACAATAATAAACAATATTTAAATCATGGCATATGTGGTGAATTATGTAGGCCTATATAAACATCAGATCATAATAGCAACCATATGATTGCGTCAATATCAAAAGATTGTGTCTTGTGTCTACAGATTGTGTCTTGTGTCTATATATTGTGTCTGCTGTCTACAGATTGTATCATGTGTTTTCATAGATTGTGTTTTGTGGCTACAGATTGTGTCATGTGTCCAGAGATTGTCTCTTGTGTCTAGAAATTTTGTGATGTGTCTACAAATTTTGTCTCATGTATACAGATAGACACATGACATGTATACAGATAGACACAAGACACAATCTTTAGACACGAGACACAATCTGTAGACACAAGACATAATCTGTATACACAAAACACAATATGTAGATACAAGACACAATCTGTATACATGAGACACAATCTGTGGACACAAGACACAATCTATAGACACAAGACATAATCTGTAGACACAAGACATAATCTGTATACATGAGACACAATCTGTAGACACATGACACAATCTGTATACATGAGACACAAAACATAATCTGTAGACACAAGACATAATCTGTATACACAAAACACAATATGTAGATACAAGACACAATCTGTATACATGAGACACAATATGTATACACATGGTACAATATGTATACACAAAACACAATATGTAGATACAAGACACAATATATATACATAAGACACAATCTGTATACATTAGACACAATTTGTAGACACATGGCACAATATGTATACACAAAACACAGTATGTAGACACAAGATTTAGAATTAATCTGTATACACAAGACACAATCTGTAGACCCAAAACACATATGTAGATACAAGACACAATCTGTATACATGTAAATGAAACACAATCTGTATACATGGCACAATATGTAGACACAAAACACAGTATGTAGACACAAGATCTAGACTTAATCTGTATACATGAGACACAATCTGTAGACACATGACACAATTTGTATACACATGACACAATTTGTATACACACAACACAATCTGTAGACACAAGACACAATCTACAGACACAAGGCAATCTGTCTTTGATGACGTTTTGATTAATTATTTTTTGTTGGTTTCAGCATTGGAAAAGAAATACCAGATGATGTCAACAAGACGTTTGTAGAGATGTTTTTGTGGGTGATGCAGACAGAGGATTTGGAGTACACAGACATGAACCATGGCGACAAATCTCTGTATGGCCGTACAGCCACTGATTTCTTGCAATTGTTTATGAATAAAGTAAGAATTTTAGTCCATTTTATACTATTAACATTTTTAGAATGTACTCAATTTTTAGTGGCTCAATGATTAGGCTGTGAATGAATTATCACAATCACATACTTGCAGTGGACTCTTGTGTATATTTTTTTTTATGAATTGATCATATGTTGATCATGTATGTTGTTTTGTATTTTGTATGAATCCCAGTGTTAAAAATATTCCAGTTTTACATAAGTGAGAGTGCGAGAGTGGAAAGAGCACTACAGGGGAGCTTGTCTGAGAAAGATAGATGTGTAGGTCTATTGACTAGAATTCAACCTAAAAACCAGATGTGTTAGCACCTGAAATGTTTTCATCAATGGCTTGATCCATTGGAGCAGTCAAGTTTGGATCAGCCGGATGACACATGGTAAAGAAAAAGGTCAGTCCCCAAAGGGGATTGGGGCAACTGTGGCCAAGTGGTTCAGGCGTATGATTGTGTATGATCACTAGCCCTCTGCCACGGTGTCCCGCTTGAGGCTTACGTAGGGCAGTCACCAAGTACTGTCCACAGACCGATGGTTTTCCTGAGGGCACTCCATCATTGCTCCACCACCAAATCCTGGCACCTCCTTAAATGACTGTATCTGTTTAAGGATATAACACACATACAAAACTCCAAAAGGGAAGAAAACTCACAAGCTGTAACTAACATAAATTGTCAAGAGAGGCAGCAGTCCTGGTGGTCATCTGCAGAGCCAGAGGATGTGTAAATATTGGATCTTTCTACGCACTATGCATACAAATGTCAGTAGAGGACCAAGATAGTACCTTCCTGTATGGAAGTAATAGACTGCATGGATTTGAACAAAAGACATTTTGAGAGGTATGCAATAAGCTCAGAAGTTGAGTGGAAGAATGAGCACTTGGAGACAAAAAATAGTTTGACCTGAAAAAACTGATAAGGAATTCAAATTTCTCAAAGGACTCAATGATGGAAGACCAGTTCATTCACTGCTGTAAAGAGGATAAAGCATTGTCTCCTTAGGAACAAGTTCCAAACTCACAGATAACATGTCTATATTGGCCGACCTGGGGGATCTATAACTGGTATAATGACTGAAAGGACGTAACAATTCAATTGTCTTTTTCCTAGAACCAGAACAGTGCATCTAACAGTAAGATTGGGGCATCGGAAATCAGAAACATTATTTATAGCACTATTGAAGATATTTATAGCAGTACTTGTTACTTCAAAAAGATGAGACACCTATTATCTGTTTACTATATGATAAGTGTAGATGACTACAAATTACTGGAGGGACATGTCCAGTTGCAGCTGTAACTGTGGATCAGAAAATGAGTGTCTCTTGTGACATTGGAATGGGAAAAGGTCGTAATTAAGGGCTGTGGTTATGATGAAGTTGTAGTAAGGAAATGTCTAGTAGAATCAGATCAGATGGCAGGAAGCATTCGGGCTTGTTACTTGGCATTTTACACACCAGCAGTACACACATTCATGAAGAAATCTGGACACTGGAGTCACCATTAAACAATGACCTCGTTAACAGAGATGTCAAGGCTGTACGAGAACCTTAGTTTCAAGATTCAGAATAAAAAGTTAAACAACCTTTTGTGCACGATGTAGAAACTAAAGCTCAGCGAACTGTAAGAGAGAGAATATAAGATATAGACCTAAGTATACGGAGTTGGTACCATTAGCAGAAAGTGAGATCTCGAGATTCACACAAGGGGCTGTCCATATATTCAAGTATGGTGGTATTCCTTCAGATATTAACCTATCACAGGGTTCAATTAATATAACCTGGTAAGTGACAAGGAAAGTGAGTAGGCTACTTTATTTTCGGCCAATGACTACGACACCATATCACCCAGTGTATGATGGAACAATTCAATGGGTCTGCACAGTGAGAGAGATGCAAAGATTTGGACAAATGGATCAATGCACTCCTGTTTGCTTATTGAGAAGTACCAAAAGAGAGACTTTGAGTTTCATGCTTTTGTCTTAGTTTGAGAGGACTTTGCGTGGACCAACCACTGTTCCAGGTGACAAAGAAGCGTGGACCAACCACTGTCCCAGGTGACAGAGAAGCGTGGACCAACCACTGTCCCAGGTGACAAAGAAGCGTGGACCAACCACTGTTCCAGGTGACAAAGAAGTTTCGATCAAGTGTTACAACTTTGACAATAATATGTATCTTACACAAAACTGAACTTGTACAACACATATCTGATAAGACACTAAATTTGTAAAATGTGTAATCTTTATCTGACATATCTTCGAAGAAGTTTGTGAACATTGAATGAGTTTTAACGATGCTGAATGAGCATCATAGTTAATTGTTCTTGAACTACGAGAACAATTCAGATTTAGGATTAATGTTTTAGGAACATGAGGGCAATGTGTATTGTATTTAACGAAATACCATGTCGTCATGCGACTTATGTCTCATCCAAGAGATATGCAGTTTTAAGGATAAAGTGTAGTAATAAAATTGACTCTTGAGAATTTTTTCCTATTTCTAGCATATTGGGAAAGACACATCAGACGCAGTTTTGCCACTGATGCCGGCCCTAATGAAACAAATAAAACATGAGGAGAAAGAGCTTGTGGAGACAAGTCGGACCATTGTCTATATGATAAGTGTAGATGACTACAAATTACTGGAGGGACATCTGGATGCCCTCGTCGAGTGGTACAAAGAAACGAAATCAGATTTTGCATTGAGTATGTACAGCTTTCACATCTCAGAAAACGATGATAAGTTATCATTTTTAACTCTTCCATCACCCTTGATCTATCTTATATCTGGTAATCACTTTGATTGATCTCTCTATAATACAGTAGGTTGTTAATTGATGCTGACTTTATATGCTTGTTCACTACTTTGTCGTCTGTGATTCATAGATGCTAATATAAGTGTAGGGGACTAAGGGGACTGCGAATTCAACCGCATAGGTTTCGTTGCCATAGCAACCATATAGCAACCACACGAAGGCTTCTAATTGGTGGAAATTTAGATATTGTTTGATTTTTTTATGAGGTATATAGGGGTATAAGTGGACTGCGAATTCAACCGCATAGGTTTCGTTGCTCTAGCAACCACACAGAGACTTCTGATTGGTCGAAATTTTGATGTTGTTCGATTTCGATGAATATTGGTATAAAGGAGTATTAGGGGACTGAATATTCAATCACATACGTTTTGTTGCCATAGCAACTACACAGAGGCTTCTGATTGGTCGCAATTTAGAAATTGCTCAATTTCACTCAAATTTTGTATGTACATTGTATGTGTACTATGGCAATGCGATCCTTTTCTGATGCATCTTTGCAACTAGGGGGGGGGGGGTTTGGGGGACATCTGTAATGGTTCCCATTACAATTAGCACTTGTTTGATGTATTTTTAGGAGCACTATGGAAGCCCCTCGAGGAAAGTGATGGTTTTACAACTTCAGATTTTTACGTGGTTATGAAAACTATAGCGGAGGACACTGGCAATTCCAAAGCCTTTTTACACGGAATGATGTTTAAGTTAACGGCTGAAAGACAAGCTGAGGTAAGAAATATCAGGAGTCTAATCTTCAATAGCTATGTCATAGGTTAAATTTCATGTCAAGAGGTCAAATCATCTATAACTACCTGTTACATAAAATTATTGTTATTTTTCCTTTGATTTTCACCATTGTAGCTGTTCACTCAAGAACATGTTGACATGATGACTAGGAGGTTTCTAGATGAGAAGCTATCACAAGGCAGTGTTTTAATGGCTCTTGGTGAAATAATAGCCATTAAACCCGAGATATTTGGAGACAACATGATCAAACATGTCCTACAGAATCCAAACTTAGATGTCCTGAATGCCTCTTCAGTCCAAGTGATAGCTGTCAACTTGGGATTGAAGAAAAAGGTCTGTTCTTCCTCCTATTCTGATTTATTGGTATTCTGACATTTGAATGTATTTAATTTACATACCAGGTATACCTTGATATATCAACAATAAATAATTTTTCACTTGAAGTGTGCCGCTTTTTATTTTGGAAAACATCTTTCTGTTAATTAACATTTGGATGAATGATGAACACCATTATGAAAAAAGCTTTCTTGTTTTCGTCACTGTTACTATGAATGGAAAAATTGTTATCATCACTTGGGTGATTTTTGATGCATATCTTTGGAATTTTCCGCAAATAATGTGTGTTGATCATCACCAAAGGAACACCCCTATTATTGTTTTGAACTTATGACCTCCAAATACTTAAGTCAGTATAGAGTCGAAGTTACTGTTACTGTAAATTGAAAATATTTTCCTTAACGTTAATACAGTATAAGATGTTCTAACACAGATCAGGATGACTACATCAGCACACCTATTTTTTAAAATTAAAATAACACCAACTTTGTCTTAATTTTCAGATGTAAAAGAATATATTTTTTCTATTTTTCTAAGCCTAAATTAAGATATGCTTCCTTTTTGGCTGAAGAATTGTTGACCTGTCATTTATCAAATTTTTTTTTAAATGTTTTTTTTAGAAGGAATATTTCTTCACTTTGCAGATTTCATTACTAAGCTTCACATGAATTAATAATCTGTCGTCTTTTCAATTGATAGGATTTAGTCAACACCATATTTGAAGAGCTTCTTGCCCTGGCAAAATGTTGGCATGATCCAAATCATCAGATTTATCTGTTAGACTCTGTCCGCATTCTAGGGTCTAAATATGGTGTAGAAACACTTAGACCTCATCGAAAATACTTTGAAGAGTTGCAGAAATATGGAATGACTTCCCCTATCAAAGATACGTCAGCTGCTATTGTAAACGCAATGGATGGAATCAGGTAATCAACTGAGTTGCTTTAAACACTTTTCTTCAACTTGAAGAAGCACATGGCTGTTATTTTTACTCTGGACTTTGTTCAAGTTTTCCGAGGGCGGTAACCCTCATTGTGTCATTGTTTGTTTTTGTTCTTCGTTAATTATACCAGTTTCTTTGCTATTGTTTATCTATCTCTTTTCCTTTTTTCACCGTATTTTTTGTTGTAAAACGTCGGTACCATTGCCACATGTTTTGGTCCCCTATCGTTTTCGTTGGTGTTTACATTTAATTTCATTTTCGTTTACGGTGCTTTTTGTGAATTGAAATTATTTTATTTACAAATTAAGGCTAAACTGTTTGTTTTTCTTTTTTGTGAACCATGAAGGATTCCTCCAAATCTGACAAACGGAGTAAGAGGAAGGACATGGTTAGGTCCTCCTCCGGTAGTAGCGGGGACCCCACGGAGAGTCCTTCAGCAGGTACCTCTTTGGCAGAGGCCTTGCTGGGTCCCAAGACTATCCAACCTTTGGCTGGATCTAGTCTAGAGGGCACAGGTGTTGACTATCCTGTTTCCATAAGGTTGGTCCCCCTTCCATTGGTGTTAGTTCATCTCTGGAAAGGGTGAGCCCTCCTCCAGTCTCTAACTTTTTGGTCAGTTCTGGAGCTTCTGTTGGTGGGGATAGAGTCATGAATGAGGACCCCTTGCTGATCGTGAGCGTGGTCGTCTTCCTTTGCTGTGATGGTGAATGGTAATTCTTTGAATTATCTTGGCCCCACAGAAGGTAGCAGCACTGTATCTCTCATGACTCTTCACGGTTCTTTCTCTGTTCTGGTCAAGTATCCGGTATAAACGCTATGTTGGTCGATTCCATGCCAGCTTGCACCATTCGGAGACAGTGGGTCACGCCCATGGGTAATGGAGAAGGTGACAAGTCTGACGAGAGTCATCGTTTTGGTGCTTTCCAGCAGCAAACTGGTCATATGTCTGGCCCTAGGTCTTTTATTTCTGGTTTCGCTCCGGGAGGGAGTGGCGCTTAACCTTTTCCTTTTGGTCAGGTTGTTCCTCCCCATGTGCCCACTGGTCAGTTTGGTCAATATTGGGGTCGCTCCTTTCCTTCTGGTCCTATGGTTCCATTTCCTCAGGGATTTGGGTACAACTCAGTTTATCCTCCGGGATTTAATCAGGGTTGGGGACTGATCTCACCTCAGCAGGTTGGGTCTGACTGAATGCTCTGCTCTTATCCAACTCTGGGATTAGGGATTTTAGGACATCTCGCTCCAAGACCAATATCCCCGCCTCTACTAGATCTTCAGAGTCTCATCATGGCCATTCAGAGCCTAAGAGAGCTCGTAAGAGGACTTTCAGATGGATACTGAAATGGAGAATGGGGACAGGGATGATGAGGTCCTCAGCCTTTCACTTGGGAGAGTGTTGACTGAGTTTCAGTCAGAACCTCCTTCATCTTGTCATGTTGTCATGATTCGGATGTTTCGGAATCTGAGGATGATGAGGAGGACGAGTTAGAGCCCGAGGTTGAGACTGAGGCCCACCGTGCTCTGGCTGGCATGCGGGCGCTTCGCATTGACGTGGCCAGAATCCTCGGGGAGGAGGTTTGCCTCCTGCTAGGTTTGCCATTCCGGAGGCGACACCACAAAATGAAGAAAAACCTGCAGCTTTCTCTCTGGGTACTCTCATATTGACCATTTCCCGTTTATAGTAAGTGCCCATCGGGGAGTCAGAGGTTGATGAGAGTGACAGACGGGCTGTGCAGGATAGGATGACCTCATCCTTACACAACTGTCTGAAGGCCTCTGCAGCTTTGCAGTGTACACTGATTGCCAATTTGGTTATTGCCAGGCGAGGCTCTGTGCTTCAAGGTAAGCCTATTGAGGAACCTTACCTTTCCATGTTTTTGTCCTTCTATTCAGAAGGAAGTAAAGGAGGACCCAGTATCCTTGGCAATTTCAAGATTTCAAAAGTTTCAAAAGTGTCGGCTGCTGGTAAGGCTGGTATACCCCTCAGGGTTCGGGCCAAGCCAATACAATGGCTAAGTCGGGGCCTCGCCAGACTCAGTCGGCAGCTCATACTAAGTCTACATTTAAGTCCAACGCCAAAGGAAAGCGCAAGCAGAGTGCTAAACCCTCTGGGGGTAAGAAGCAGTATTCCTGAATTCTTCCCTCCTTCCACAACTCTTCCGTTTCAGTCCGGGCAAGTAGATCAAATATCTCATTTACCCGGTCTTGTAACGGTCGTGGATAGCCCCATAGACGTTTGGGAATGTCTCGGCCTTCCTCAACCGGACCTTCCAGTAGGAGGTCGACTGTCCGCTTTCCTTCCTCAATGGAAGGAGATTACACAGGGTAGTTGGGCATTGTCAATATTTGCATAAGGATTGAACATCTCGTTGTTACGGAAGCCTCCGCTCACAGCAGAGCCTATCTTTTTCCCATCCCCGGTGGATCCAGAGAAGGCTCTAGCTGTCAGACGGGAAATTGCTACCCTAGTCGAGAAGGGTGCAAACGAGGAGCTCCCACAGTCCCGGTGCTCTCCATGCTTCTTCTCCCGAATTTTTCTGGTAGGGAAGAAGTCGGGAGCTTGGCGCCCGATTATAGACATAAGTGCCTTCAGTCGGTTCTTGGACTCTCCCCACTTTCAGACGGAGACCCCGAGAGGCATTATTGCCTCAGTCAGGGAGGGAATGTGGGCAACATCAATAGACTTGAAGGATGCCTACTTCCACATTCCCATCAGGAAGTCAGTGTGTATCTTCCAGTTCCGGGCAATGCCTTTTGGCCTTACCACAGCCCCCATGGTTTTTACCAAACTACTGCAGGTAGTGGTAGGTTTCCCTGCACCAGCGGAGTATCAACATATATATTTACTTCGACGACTCCGTCATGCTTCATTTACTGAGGGAATCCCTGGTGCAGGATACTCGACTAGTTCTGAGTCTATTTCTCAAGGTCGGGTTCATCGCCTCACGAGAGAAATCAAAACTTTCGAGGCTACCGGTTCGACGTAACCAGGGGCATAGTCCTTCCAACTCAGGAAAAATTCATCAAGGCCAAGAGTCTGGTGCTTCAGTTTATCCAGAATTCTGTGGTACAGGTTCGTTGATACCTCAGTATGCGTGGGTTTCTCCACTCACTAGCAAATGTAGTTCCTCTGGTCAGGCTGCACATCAGACCAAATGTTTCTTCTCAGCCATTGAGTTCCTGCGTCGCGGGATTGGGAGGCTTTTATTCCTCTCAGTCAATCGGTCAAGGAACTTGCCCTATGGTGGACAGTTCGGAACAATGTCCTGAAGGGGGTTTCCTTGCAAAGGAGCTCGCCTACCATGACCCTGTATATCGATGCGTCCAAGACAGGTTGGGGGCGTACCTGAACGGGCAGGCTCGCTCAGGTTCGTGGACAGGGGATAATCTTTCCGAGCACATCAACGTGCTCGAGATGAGGGCAGTGTTGTTGGCCATCCAGGACCTCAGGTTTTATCTTCAAGACCAGGTATTTTGCGTGGTAACAAACAACTCAACTGTTGTAGCGTATCTGTAGAAGCAAGGGGCCACCAGGTTTTAGGTCCTGTGTGCCCTCGCCATCCGCATTTTGCTACTTTGCAAGGAATTATGCCTAACATTCTGGTCAAGCACCTTCCGGGCAGACTTTATGTCTTTACATATACCCTGTCAATACGTCTTGGGCCGGTTCTCACGGAGTGACAGATCGATTCATCCAAATTCCGAGCAATATGTCTGGTTTGGGACAGGCCTCATGTAGACCTATTTATTACAACCTTGGACAATCAGTTGCCGACGTTTGTGTCTCCCATTCCAGATGGGGAGTAGATGCTCTGTCTCTGGACTGGAAGGGGTTGCTTACGCCTTTCTTCCTTTCAACTTGGAGGCCAATGTTCTCCATTAGTACAAGGAGCAGCCTTGCTCCCCAATTCGTGGCCGAGGCAACCATGGTTCTCTCAGCTTCTGTCGTTTCTGGTTGAAAAAGCGACAGTCTACCAGTCTATGTGGAGCATCTTCTGCGATTGGTGTGGTCAGAGGCAAGTTGATCCACTCCATGGCTCGGTTCCCTTAATTGCAGATTTTTTTTTACCACAATTGTTTTGCCGTAAGAACTTTAAGCTTCTAGTACCATTACCGGCTATCGATCGGCTGTTGCTGGTATCTAATATTATTCAGGGCGACCAAAGGTAGGATCTTCTTCTTCCTTGTCCGCCCTCATCAGAAGCTTAACCATTGAGAGACCAGAGTTAGGCGTCTAACTCCACAATGGGATGTAGCTTTGGTTCTAGAGTTCCTTTTAGGTGTTCCTTGCGAGCCTTTGAGTCAGGCCTCCTTGAAATTCTTGACTTTCAAGACTGTGTATTTTGTCACCCTTGCCTCGGAGAGAAGACGTAGCGAGGTTCATGCCTTATCAGCGCATTCCCCTTGTTTACATTTCGACAGGGGATTTGGTGGATTTTCCAGATTATTAGGCTGGCTTATGAGTGTCTTTCTGATGATGTCAGAAGGCTATTCAAGGTTAGGGCCCATGAGGTTAGGGCTCTGGCAGCATCTTTGGCCCTTCTAAATGGCTCTCTCTTTTGGCGAGGACACACTTCATTTACGGAGTTCTATCTGAGATCGCTGTCGTCCTTCTCAGACAAGCTTTACTCTTTGGGTTCGGTGGTTGTTGCCCAATCAGTGGCTTGCCCACCCACCGCAGAGTAAAGTGTTCTCCGTTTTAAAATTTGTTATGCGTTAGCATTGTAAATAAGCAATAGTCAATAATCAGTGTGTATGATAGTGAAATAAACAACAGTGCAGTAAGAGGCCACGAATCATTGAAAGTGTTCCTGATCTCTTTCAGTATGGAGGGTATCATCACAGATGCTATACAAACAAAGAGGAAGGTAAAAGCCCTTGATGAGAAAGTCAAAAAGGCAGAAACAGAAGTTAGTGGAATGAAAACAACAGTTGCCAAACAAAGCAAAGATATCAAAGCTGTCGAGACAGGACTTAAAACCGTTGAAAAACGGGTAGATGTAGTGGAGAAGGACCTTGTAGAAACGAAGGTCAGGGTTGAGGAAATTGACAACAAGGTGAGTCAATTTATTTTCTCCGTAAAATTATATCTAAAATAGTTTGCTTCTACCTATTATTTTTTATTTTTTTGGCAGCTATACTTATGATTTTAAGACTTTAAATATCCTTTGGTAATAGTTGCGTTTTGCATATAGGTTGATAATAAGTACACATGTAGTGCTGCCGCTGCACCATTCTTTAAACAATATGTATAGAAAGACGTCAAAAATTCACATTGAATTTGGGATCACAAATTAAACTATACAAAAGTATCACTTCATTAACAGACATTATCCAACGCTCCAGTATGGTCGAAGGATATTTCTAAGTTGATGAATCCAAAGTCGGAGCACGATTGGCGGTTATTAGCCCAGCGACTAGGATATTCTCTGGACGATATCAAAGCATGGGCCACACACAGCGACCCCTGCATGGCCCTTCTGAGTGAATGGTACGCCACTCACAAGATGATAGAAGCCACCCATGCAGTACTGAATATTCTACAGGACATAAATAGACTTGATGCAGCAGTCATCGTGGAGAACGCCATGAAAGCTGTAGGTCAGTGGTGCAGTTAACTTTGTCATGACATCCACGATAAGCTTCAGGGTGCCATCACCTTTCAAGTCTTTATTTACACCACACCTCTTAGTGGTGTGTGAGTAGAGTTTTCCTCTTTGTCTAGTGACACATATCCAGGGATATAAGATGTTACCTACAGTGTTCTTTTTATGTTGAATGGCTAATCTGTGGTTACCTGTGAGAGTGATTTTATCATTAACACAATTATCTGGTTCCATAATAAACTAACTCTTCTTCAGTGAAACAAAAGTCAATGTTAGATTAAAATTTGATTTGCATTACCAGAGAATGTTGTGGAGGAAGCCCCAAAGTACACCACTCCCCCTCCGATCTTCCTTAGCTACCAATGGGGTCACCAAAATGAGGTTAAGTTACTACGGCAACACCTCCTCATGGCCGGCTATGAATGCTGGTTGGATGTCGGTCAAATGGGAGGCGGGGATAAACTGTTTGAGAAGATTGACAATGGAATCAGAGGAGCCAAGGTCATCATATGTTGTGTGTCGGAGAAGTACACGAAATCTCCCAACTGTAACAGAGAGGTGAGGAGAAATATAATTAAGTAACCTGACCTCTGTCTTTGACTTATCATTCATATGTACGCACTCAAAATGTTGTATGCTCATACTTTTTAGCTTGGAATTTTTCGATGATTGTGCATGTTCCAATTGCAGTTTCTGTAATGTATTTACTGTAACATATATCGTGAGTACAATAATAATGCACTGTAATGCACTTTATTAAGAAATACCATTAATCATTTTATTATCATTAGTTGTAACAAAAAGAAAAGTAAAAAGTGTGTTCATAGTAATTTATAAGTTTCAAAGCAAGACCTAAGTAAGTTAAAATTTACTTTTAAATGTGAAACCTTATATTGCAAGATAAAAAAGCGTGAAAATCTTAACTGACAAACGATTTCAATTTTATGAATTATCAAACATTAATTTACAAAGGTGAACCTGTCTGTCAACCTTGGTAAGCCCATGATCCCCCTCCTGATGGAGAAGATGGGCTGGCCTCCTCAGGGCTCTATGGGACCCATCTTCAGCGAATATCTGTTTGTGAGATTTTTCCAGCGAAAAGGGGAAGAGACCAAAGATCAACGTTACTGGCCAGTTTCAAAGTTTCAGGAACTTCTGATGCAACTCAACATCTACAAAACCATGCCAGATGAATCCCTTATTACCAAAGGTCAGTGAAAGGATTTTTAGAACAATTTTAAAAGTATTACTGCTGTTCTGTACACATGCAGATTGGGATTTGAGAAAAATATGCATTATTCAAAGTGTATACATTTTTGTTTGTACTTGCGTTTATCCACTCCATGTTGTAAGAGACAACTAGTGTTGGAACGCCTTGCAGAATTTGGGATTTTCTTTTATATCCTCAGCTGGGGGTACGAAAACAACCAGAAGAATTCTGCTGCAATATTTTGTTTTCCCTTTTTGTCCGACTACTTGGCAATACCTCACTTTAAGGTTATTGGTTCTATCCCCTGACCGAAACAAACCGAAATCGTCAAATTAAGTACTTGCTGTCCTATACTTAACGTTCAGCTATTAATAGGAGTTTGTAAATGGATTTCAGTTACTGATCTTGGATATTTTAAATCCTTCATATTTGTCTTATATGTATACCTACAGAGTATAGAAAATGGTGGCTACCGGTGACAGAAGAAATTATCATCAACACAAAGCCGATAAAAGGTGGGCAGAGTGCAGCCAGCACATGTGGAGACAAGGTAAGCGTATGCACTGTACCAGAAATCAAAGAGTATACACTACTTCTGATATTTAGGATTCATATATCATTGGAGCATCGCTGAGAATTAAAACAACAGTCTGTCAATAAATCTAACTAAGATATGATATGTTTTAATACTTATTTGCTGGCTTTTTTTGTAGGACAATGAAAGCACATCACCAGACGTGTTTCTGTCGTACCAGTGGGGTAAACAGAAACAGATCAAGCAGCTGTACAAGAGACTCAGTGAGCTCGGTTTAACCTGCTGGATGGATATCTACCAGATGGGAGGTGGAGATTCCCTGTTTGACAAGATTGACCGAGGTGTCCGAGGCTGTAAGGTTATCCTTACTTGTGTGACCACCAAGTACACAGTCTCAGCCAATTGTCGACGAGAGGTCAGTCTTGCTGATACATTGAAGAAGCCAGTGGTATCTCTTATGTTGGAAAAGATGAAATGGCCACCTAGTGGACCCATGAGTAGTGTCATAACACAGTTTCCGTTGATTGATTTTAATCAGGACGAAGAAGTCCAAATGACATGGACAGGAGTTAAATTTGACGAGCTTCTTGCTGAGATTATGGAAATTGTACCCAATACCATTGGATATGTAAAGGATATAAAGAAAGGGGAGTCTAAAACTCAAGAAAAAACAACAGATGATGCAGATGTTGCAAGGACACCAGAGGGAAAAGAAGAAGCACACCAACTTGAAGAAACACAAGCTGGTACTCAAGAGGTGTCACTACCTAAATCTGGGGAGAAAAATACAGATGTACCAGCTAAATTTTTAGAAGGTGTTGACGACGAAGAAGAAGAAACAACGGAAGAGCTACCACCATCGTACAATTCATTGTTTTCACAAGCTTCTTCAAGTACACAAACTACAACAAAAATGAAACCTTCACCCAAGTCCGCGCCTCAATCAAGTAAGAAATCTTCACAACCTCCACCACCACCATATCCGTACTGCCATCTATATGTAGAGACTCCATCACAGCCTACTACAGAACCAGAAAACAAAAAATCATCGTCATGTGTAATTATTTGACACCTCTGTTGTTGGATATGGAGGATAATTGAACAGATTTTTATTTGAAAGGGTGTAAACCTCGCTAAACTCGTAGGCACATATTTCCTTCCTTTCCCCACGGAAGAGATGAAATTGTGTCAGGTATTAGAAATAGTCTGTTGTTCACTTGTCTGTCTTCATATCTAATGTTGCATGTTTGTATATATTTCCAGGAAGAACTGGAAAATACAGTATACCGGGAAATGTTTGCTGCAGTTGAATTTTCGCCTTTTTCGCATTTCGTTACGGGGCGAAATTATCATTACAGATGATATAAGTAAACAGCATACTATACATAATACATATGTAATTTAATGTGAAGGGTGAAATTGACATTGATCGAAAACTGATTTTGTGGACGAAGGACGAAAGTTTGACTGGGCGAAAATGTCCCGGTATACAGTACGCAGTATGAGGTATAAACCGAGATGTACATTTCAAACCATCGGCTGTCATTCACAATGAGCGAACACATATAAATGTACCCCGTTAATAGCAACTACAGTATACCTAGATTCCATTTATCTTGAATGTATGTAAACAAAAATTCAACGACATAGTGTTAAGTTTTCTATAATTTTGGACGTTTAGAGTCATGTACATGTATGTTTCTATAAGCTAGTTGTTGCACCTTGTTTACCTTTGTGGAAAGCCTGACAACTATTTTTGAGGGGATGATACATGATGTAATTACTCTTTTGGAGGGGGATGATAATGATGTCATTGCTCTTTTGGAGGGGGATGATACATGATGTCATTGCTCTTTATTTTGGTGACTCCTTAGTTCGTCTTGTTGTCCATAATTTTTGCGTTGTGTGTTGACGCTGTGGTATATATTTCTTTTACTTTCTTCATTGTAAACAAAACGAAGTAAGTAGTCATCACTCCATCGTATTCTACGCATCCATAATATCCCCGTCTATCTGTTTCCATTTATATTGTTTACTTAATAATTGTTTATAAAATTGTGCATGTTAGTTGAGCTCAAACTGATTAATGTATGATTTTTTAGTACATTATAAACAAATGTAACCATTTTACATTATTTTGTACAATTGTTTTCTTTCGTTAACCGTTTTTTGTTTTCACAAATAAGTAATCGGGATATTTGAATACTTTCTGTTGGTGACATAGCTCCATTTTAAACAAATGAATATTATTAAAGATGTTTTTATGGATATTTCATATGTTTGAAGTAGTTATTAATGTTAGAATTAGGTACATATAATCACATTTTAGGATCCCTGTCTACAGTCCAGAAATTGGCGCTATCATAAAATTTCAGATAATTGACAGGCTACTTTGATACTATAGTATTTGTATATTTTGGCCAACCGAACGACATGAGGATAGTTTTCAAACCCTGGTGTTCATTTTGCTTCGCGAGGTAGGTCTGGAGTAGTAGGTGAAATACCTTCGGAAAGTAGCCACTGTCTTAAAAATAATTTATCTTTTTCGTATAATTTTAAACTATATTTTGCCAGATTTAGAATTCATGTTTGTAAGTCCTTGATATGAGCTCATTATATTAGATCATATCTTAAATATGAGTTTTTTTAATCAAGTTTGAAGTATGGCTGCTAGAGTGTCGTATAATATGATGATTTTTGTCGTATTTATATCAATTAATATAGCAATGTTTTTGATAAATCTACACCTTTAAATGAACCATTTTCAATAGCTGTTAATGTTTTGCAACTTTTCACAAACTTGTATTTAAAGATATATTCAGTACTGAGTTGATTCAAGTAAAGTGCTAAATCGTCATTCAGGTAGGATCCTAATGTGTTGGCAATACACGAGTTATCTGTGTGGGGACGTGGCATTTCTTGGATTTTGACCTAGATTTACATTGCGGCCGGGTGTCATCGACGAAGTAGTAGAAGATGCTTACAGTTCCAAAACACCGGGCCTTATTATATTTTTTAATGTTCTCCATGTAAGTATTTCCCTTGTTTATAATTTGCCGTAGTTTTATCGATTTTGAGTTCGAATTATGGTTTTGTTGACACCTCTGTATCCTCTTGTTTTTTTGACCATTTCTTAAATTACCTCCATGTATTATTATCTTGTTATTTTTGTCCACTTTTTAAAATTACCCCCATGTATGATATATTTTTTACTTGAAATCTATTTCCAATTAAGGAGATAAAATGGTTGAGTATCGTAAAACAATTATCAAAGATATTTTTCGTGATAATTATTAATTGAGTTCTGTTCAGAAAGTACTGTCTTTCTCTTGATACAACTATTTTCGAGTAATTTACATTTGAGCTAGCTTGTGGTTTCAAAACTTCAACGTAATATATACGTGTTGAATGAGCCGCGAATCGAAAACCCCACCAATAAATACAGGGAGGTTGGTTCCTGAGGTTAAATTTTTATCCATATTACACATGATAATATCTGTTTTATCATTTTATTATAAATGCAATGTAATACTTTATCACACGACAAGGTAATTATTACTTATTTCTTAAATGTTTATGTATAGCGGTTCTTTTGACCCAAACAGTAGTAATACTTTGGTACTGATATTAATGCTTAGGAGTGTAATTCAACATAGTTTTTCTAAGGATTGTCATTCTGTGTTATTTTTATATAAATACATATTTTTATTCGCACTACTTGGCCATATTACTCCAGGACCTTTGTGTATTTTTGAAGTTTATTTTTGAAAAATCATATTTACATTTACAAAACGTTAGAAATTGTATACTTTTGTGCCATAATATATTTTTATTATATTTCTTTTTGACATTCTAATGCATTTTTTATGTTATACACATGCATTTTACATACCGTATGGTATCGAAAGCTTTTAGTAGTGTAGACTACTTATATATACATACATGTATATGTATATATTGCCTTAAGTGATAATGAACAGATGATGAAACATGTATATATGATTTATCGACAATGTTTTCTTGACATTATATATTTTATCGACAATGTTGCCTTGTGTCATGATAAGGTAAAGGATACCACAAATTTAAACTTTATTATTACCATAGGTGCTTTTTAAAAGTAGCATTCCTTAAAAATCACACTTTGCCATGCATTTTACAAAATTATAGTTGTCCAAAGTTTGAATGTTTGAAACTACAGGGTCATACCCGGTACGTTGCCATTGCAAACCTTATACTTTATCTATTCTGCCATCCAGGAATTTTTCTTGCACTGCTTCAAAATGAGTATCCCATTAATAAACCGTATATTCTAGGGCAATAAGCTAGAAAAAAATGTCTGAGAGGAACTCTTCTTTGCGATGAAAACTGATGCATTGGTATCCTTTACCTTATCATATGGTGAAATTTACATACAACGCTGTTTACCTCTTACAGAATTCATGACATGAAACTGTTAAAAAAGTTGTGGATGTACCGTAGATATTTCCTCATTATTCATCGTGTATCTGAAATATTTGTTCTTATCACACGTTAACTGCTGGATTTGTTGAAATTTACTTCATTATCAGTGACTTCGTGCACCAAGTGCACGTCGTAAACACACTTTTTTTCTTAAGCGATTCATGGAATGTGTCCAGAAAGTCAATGTTGTTTTGACCTCATGAATATTAAAAAAATAAATTTCATTCCTGAAATATTTTGGGAAATAATACAAAATATATTTGTCAAAATTTCCCTATTCATTAAAATATTTCCCGCTGCCACATGTTTTAAGATGTAATTGCATATTGCTCTTTTTTTTGTATTTTATCAGCTGAGACATTAGGTGTCGACTTCTAGTTTGATGATATCTAGGACCAAGAGTAGGACGTTGTTTACAGATGATATATATTTATATTGAAACATTGAAATTTCCATAAAAAAAAATCATAACACTACTTACAATTTGAAATGTATATAATGAGACAATATGACGACCGAACAAAAGTCGTAATCTATTGAACATTTACACGTTTCTAATTTTAACATTTCGGAATAAGGTTTTGTTGAAATAAAAATTATTTAAGAATGCTTGTTAAAAAACTATTTAAAACATTTCACAAAGATATCTAAAAAGTTGATTGTGGGAAATTATCTGTGTGTTGGGCGAGTTGGACGAGTTAAAAGAGTTAAAATGTAATAATTATTTGTATACTCAATAAATTTGGATTCAAAACGAGACAGTTATTAATGGTGTATCAATATACTACAAACCATATACATTGCACGTAGAAATAAAGATGTTTTGAACTTAATTGGGGTATTGTTGTTGTGTTTTAATAAAATATGCAAACGGACAATTTTGTGTATTGTGTCATGGTCTCGTTTCATTTTCACATGGATATATATGACAGCCAACTATATATTATTTTCCCCTATCTATGTATTATTTGGCTGTCACATGGCCAAAATGCTATTTTGACTGCTAAAGAGATGCATGTACTTTGGGTTCTCATTATTGTTTGATATAAACTCACAATACTAATACCACCAAATATTGATAAAGGTCACACATATACAGATTCTGTGATATTTCATCACATGATACATGATTGGTTCTGTTTTTTGCAATTAACTTTATCTTCATTTTTTATTTTTATTTTTCCATATCTTTCGTTACATTGCAAAAAGTACATTCAGGATTTTTCTCTCGCTTGCATATACATTTCAGCACTAATTTTACTCACAACCACAAGCACAATTAGAGCACAATGGTCATTCATTCAAGATAACATTTTCTAATTTCATTTTGGGTTTTTTCGTTTCATTCTATTATAAAATATGAGAGCAGTTCATTTCACCTGGAATAATCAAAAGTCTTAGAAATCGACATTTCCTCAAAAGGAAATTATACTTTTATAGTAGAAAAAAAGCTGTTTTTATAACTAATAGTTTTAGTAGGAGGTAAATTAAAGAATCTTTCATTTCTAAATTATTATGTTTCAGTTATGTTCAGGTTATTGAAATTGACTGGACTAATATAGAGGTGTAGGTTTATCATTTTAACCATTTGTTTTTAGGCATATCAAGAGATGTATATAGTGCGACCTTGTATTTTCTCCAATATACCTCCTTGCAATAAAACCAGTCTGATTCATATTTATTAATTTATCTAAAACTTATTCTACCTGCTATTGAACCAGATGCTATTTTACATATTATATTCAGTAATGAAATTGGCCGCCAATTCTTTAAAAACTGCCTGGGTTAGTATCCTTTGGGTTGACATGTAATTATACCGTCTTTGAGTTATAGATAATTTTCCAATTATAAATCTGCAATTGATAGACCATACTACAAAATACCTTAATTTCCCCAGAAACATTCATCTGCAGGGGTCCCCACATTAGTCGCCTCCTACGATACAAGCAGGTGTATTATTTTCCCGTCCCTCACCTGCAGGGGTGCAGGTACCCGTAAAAAGGAATAGACATTGACAATGAATGAAAGTGTGGTCGTGTGGCCACTTTATATTGCCTTTATTGAACTGTGACATAAAGATAGACATTCCCAAACTTTTATTGTTTCAATAACTTTCATTTTCATGTACAAATAATGATGCTGCAATGAATGGGTATTTGAAGAGCCGAGTAAACAGTCCGAATGTAATAAATTATTTACACATTTCAGATGAACATTTTCATGTCACTCGACTTCCAATATTAATTAACTACACAGACTGAAAATAACATCAAGATAATTGTCAAGAAATTAACGAAATTTGTCGACTAAACATACCTGTGTTCGTTCAGTCCTACCCTATCAACCTATCAGCCCTATACTGTTAGTACCCCACTCTAGTGTAAGTGTTGTACCAGTGGAAATACATATTCGTTCTTTTATCATAGTATATTTTGTAGAAACTTATCTGCATTCACGTTAAATATCCTTATTCTAGGACAGAATTCATATCATGTCGATAATTTATGTTGTGTATTTTCCCTCGTAAACATGTCCGTTAAGGTTATTTACTTTGACTGCGGGTCAATTCCGATTCGTACGTATACGTCTCTGATTCTAGCCTATTTGTATTGCTGTAAATTGTATAATATATTGCAAAATTATTGTAATATTTCAGAGATTATATTGTGTAAATATTGTTATTTTGTGTTGCATTGTATGAACGTTGTGATGTTATTGTATAGTGCAGCGAATGTCACCGAGTCAGTTGGAGCTGAGTCCGAGACTGGGTCAGGCGAGACAACTCGTGTAGAAGGAATAGTGTCTTTTTTAAACAGTTAATAATGGTCCTGAATTGGATATTGTCACGGAAAATAACGTCAGCTTTGTTTTATTATGTATTTCAGATAAATATCTTTGTATACAGATTTAGTCACGTAATGTGAACAGACTGTCAAATAACTTAAGAAATTATGTTAAGTATTGTTATTAGTTAAATAAAGGAAAATGTTATATAACTTGTGTCGGATCTTGAATAAGATTGTCACAGGAAATTTATATACGAAAGTAGGATTTTTTATAAATAATTGTCTGATAACCTGTATCGGCCGTGATTTCGGTGAACAGGAAAACTTTCATTACGTAGGGTTTTCATAAGTAATATAAGCGTTAAGCTATATTCATTTGTCGGTTAACGATAAATTGTTGTTTCTATTCTATAATGTTCAGCTAGTGCGTATTTATGTAATAGCCAGACTCAGTGTAATGTAGATTACATCACAGGCCAGCTCATTATATTTTGGTGATAACTTTTGACTTGCTGTATATTTTATTCACGCTACCAAGTATTTGACTTATATTGATCAGCGGTCAGAAGTACCATTCTATTGTACATAATTTCACTTTGATTTGTATTGTTTCTTTATCATACATAACAGGGATGTGCATCCCTGTACATAATGAATAAATCCAATGCATCCTAACTACGTTGTTAAGTTACTTTAACAATTATAAAATTCTTCACATTTCCAGACAGTAACTAAAAAAAGATTGCGCAATTGAAACAAGAGGCCCATGGGCCTAAACGGTCACCTGAGTCTACAGTATTTATTTTTGTTGTTGAAATATGTACCAATTTGAGTAAAATATAGTATAATGTTAACTTGACTTTGTCAGGACCATGAGCTGATCATTCCTAGACCAATTTTAAGTGAGATCGGCCTATTAGAACTTAGTAGCAAAATAGCGGCCATGGCAGCCAAATTGTATTTCTGATTGACCCGAAAAATAACAACACTTTGTCAGGACCATGAGTCAATCATTCCTACAAAGTTTCAGTTCAATCGGCCTAGCAGAACTTGACTTTAAGTTTGAAATAGTTTTTCAAAATGGCGGCCGTGGCGGCCATATTGGATTTCTGATCGACCCGAAAAATAACAACACTTTGTCAGGACCATGAGTCGATCATTCCTACAAACTTTCAGTTCAATCGGCCCAGCAGAACTTGACTTTAAGTTTGAAATAGGTTTTCAAAATGGCGGCCGTGGCGGCCATATTGGATTTCTGATCGACCCGAAAAATAACAACACTTTGTCAGGACCATGAGGCGATCATTCCTACCAACTTTCAGTTCAATCGGCCCAGCAGAACTTGACTTTAAGTTTGAAATGTAAAATGTTAACGGACGACGGACGACGGACGACGACGGACGAAAACGGATAGCAATAGGTCACTTGAGCTAAAGCTCAGGTGACCTAAAAATCTGGTATGAATGTAGGTACGGGTTGACGATTACGGATTGCCGGTGCACGTGGTACCACGGACTTATAGATAACAATTCAAATCTCCGTGGTGGTACGGAACGACTGGTAGGCTATACTACGTGCTGCTGAAAAGAGCTGCCTAAAACCGGGACCTGGACTGACAGCAGCCCTCCAAACCTCCGGAATATCATATTTGTATCCAAAACAGCGAACACGTAAACTTCTTTCACTTGTTCGAATGGGTAACTCTCGAGATAATCCGAAAGAAAATCCAAGGCGCATTCGCGTTGCAAAATTCAATCATGCGTAGATCACATTCATGATTGTTTGCTCAACTTGAAATTAACGAACATCCGGAATGAATATTCTATCCAATATAATTTTGAATAAGTAGAATTCAGAAAATGGGATATAGTATAGTTTTAAAAGTGTTTTAACACAATGAACAAACAAATAAATGTAAATTAAAGGATTCTTTTCAAAATTCCTATATTTTAATTCGCTTTACTGACAGAAAGCTAACAACGTTATAGCTTGCGATGCAACCAGAAACCAGAGACGTATAATACGTCTCTGCAGAAACCAAGGTTTCAAAAGGAAATATTGAGTATATATAGGCCTAACAAAGACGACTTTTTTCGTATTGGTGCAGAGAGTGTTACATAATTAAGTAGGCGTAAAACACATGAGTATCGAGGATGCAAAATTGGCGCTAGAATGTCCGGCTGCAATTTAATCAATGGATAACAATTGTAACATAACACGAGTTCCTGCCACACAGGTGCCTGGATTGTATAGGGTTATACAACCTCATGTATCATAACACAGTGAAATACCGACATTGTATTGTATAATATCGATTTAAGCAGAGACGTATTATATGTCGATCTCTGATTTAAGTTATAAATATGGATTTTCCATAGATAGTACTCTACGTTTCTTGTCGAATAACTACGTATACACGTCAGGGCTATTGTGACGTCACAGTTGGCAGTGCCCGTTGTTTTATACTTTTCACACTAAACCCTTCACTCTGATTGATCGTTTTTGTCTGAAAATATTATAAAGTGTAATTTGTTACAGTGGAAAAATCAACTTAATTTTTACTGCAAAATGTTAAGAAATGTTGGAATTTCAACTAACACAATATATGCAACAATTAAATGTGTATTCGACAGATTTAAGGGTACTCAGAGACGTATATAACACATATGGCTTTATACGTCTCTGGGGTACTCAACTCAAGTTTTACCAGATTCTATATATTAATTAATTATAAACCCATAAAATACATATGCTAAGAATGTGACAAATCAAGTTGTTCCATTTCTGAATATGATTTAATGATTGATTGTCTTTTGTTATCAAGGTTTAGTGGTTGTTTCATTTCTTTTTATGGTTTCGTGGTTGTTCTGCTTTTTTGCATTCATGCCTGGTACTTTTTGTAGTGCAGTCACCGTTTCCTAACAGGAGGAATGCTTTGTAGTGTACAGTTCTGTATTTTCAGTCATTCACATCAATGGACAGTATATGCAGAGACGTATATTATACTGGCTTTATATGTCTCTGGTATATGTAATATATCGCATTTATATATGTTACTTTTGGAATTCTGGGTATCTCTCTCTATATATCTAAATAGATTTCGTTCAAAATATTTTACACACATGTTAATACATGCAATTTATTCTTTCAACCATAATAATATTTGGAAATAAAGTAGTTTACATTCTATTGTATTCTTTGTTATGCTTGGCAATTTTTCCGTGCGAAAATCAATGTCCAGTTAATTATAAATACTAAATTTACCAATATCTGTCATTGTATTGCTTGATTGCATTTTAACGTCACTTTGCAATATTATTAGTAGGCCTATATATATTTCGCAACATTATTTCGCAATACGATTGCGCCTTATAGTGTCGGAAGTCCTCGGGAATTATTCATTCCTTTACACAGTAACCAACTTGTTTACAAATGGCTGTGGATATTGGGTAAGTTCAGTATGTATACAACACCGATGCACGAAGTGAATAACATAACGTACAGTTACAGATGTAACGTAGCAGCACCCTTCCAGTTACTTCCATGATTTCTAGAAATTAACTGAAGTGGGGATTGATTACTAAACGATACTCATCCTCTTCTTCCTCATCTTCTCCTTTCCCACTCTTCCATCATGTGATAATGGAAGGCCGAATTCATGTCATTGTATTTTTCTCTGGGCATAAGTTCTGAAATGATCTCACTTATTTGACAGTCTTGTTGTTGTCAGAGTTGTTTTGATAAAAAGAATGTAGATAGGCCTAGTAGACAGACACTCTACCAGTGGAGTTACCTGGTCGCCAATGATCAACCCAGTCCAGTTCTGCTTCATTTTTCTAAAAGAGGAGATAGCCACAGTCTACTACAGTAGTTATTTTGGACCAAATGGTAATTCTCATTCCAGATGGCTCCATGCTCTCCGGAGGAGTAGTTTTTTGTAGTGAAGATTGTAGCCTGTTTCTGGACTCTTTCCATCAAAGGCATCATCTCGATGCACTATAACTTTACAGGCTCTATTTAAATGGTCAAACAGTTTATAAGTTGTACTATCTCAGTGTGCCTCTACCATTATTGGATAAACTACATTATTTAGGTATGTTACAGTTGTAATACCAGTTTATATCACAAATTCATAGGTTCAGTTAATTAATTCAGCATATTTCATTATTTGCTGACTTGCAAGATTTCTTACATATTAGAAACATGACATGTAGTTGTAACAGGAATGAGAAATAGTGTGCTTCCACCAGGGATCGAACCCTCGATCTGTCTCCAGGTTCCTACTCGGACACTCTACCACTGAGCTGAAGGAAGATTCCCTCTAGCTTGAATGAAGAAGGCGACCATACTCCTATTTACAATTAAAACCTGCCACACTATGTATACTCCCCCTTTTAAAATGTGTTCGCCCTTGTACACCACAATCCCTGTCACCACATACAGGGGGGGCACGGACACCATTTGTAACAGGAAAGAGAATAGTGTGCTTCCACCGGGGATTGAATTCTCGATCTCCAGGTTCCTAGGTGGACGCTCTACCACTGAGCTATAAAGGGTAATTCCCTCTAGCTAGAATCTAGAAGGCGACCGCAATCCTATTTAAAATTAAAATCTGTCACATAGGTATGGATGTCATCATGACTGAGTGAAACTGTACCAGTTCAGAGTTGGATCACATTTAGATCTACGTACTAGAAGATCTGAGCCACTTTTTTCCTACAATCTGATTTCTTTCATATTTGGAATGGAAAGAAACATGCTTTTGGCATGTGTTCTTGGTATACATTCCTTATTTATTCACATTTGACAGACATGGTTTCCAATCCATTATAAACTTTGTTATGCCAAAGATAAAACTTATGAAACTTCTTGAAGCTGGAGTGCTAATGGGAAAGGACATAGAAGACACATTCTGTCATTCCATCAAAATCAACATCATTTACGGTCAATTCTTAGACAATTTAGATCACATATAAAATACATATAAACATTAAATCATGGAGTCTTAAATTTATTTCATATAATGTGCTGAAATCAGTTACTAGCTGGTATACCCAGGTATGTGTAAACTAAAACTACATGTACATATAATTTTTACAATTAAGTAAATAAAGTTCTTTTGAAGAGTTGTGGTATCTTGTACTATTCACAGTGCTCTAGATCTGTTAGCTTGTATAATACAACCGAAGGATTGTTTCATTGTGTACCGTTTATTTCTTTATTTGCAGCTCTATGTTCCCCAAATCAAAAATGGAGGAGGCCATATAAGCAATACAGTTCTTAAACTAAGCACACATCACTTATGAGTTGTAATGGCTGCCTCTAAACAGGTGGACACTACAGACCAGCAGGAGACACCCCTACCCCTGGGCTGGCGAAAGGCTAAAGCTGTCACACCCGACCGTAGGGCTCGATTCTACTTTGTCAACCACAATGACTGCTATACTACTTGGAGTGATCCCAGGATTTGTAAGTATCCTTATAAGTCCCCCACCGGGTACCGGAGGGGACTATAGTTTTGCGTCATGTCTGTCCGTCCTTCCTTCCGTCCTTCCGCTATCTTGTCCGGGCTCTATCTCCTACACTACTAGTCACAGGAACTTCATACTTGTTGTATGGGTTCAAATTGGTGAGGGGATGTGTCGTGTATTAAAAGTAGGTCACTCTGACCTATTTTTTGACCTTTGACCTACATCAAAGAAAAAGTTTGTCTGGGCTCTATCTCCCACACTACTAGTCACTGGAATTTCATACTTGGGGAATGGGTTCACCTTGGTGAGGCGATGTGTTGTGTATTAAAAGTAGGTCACTCCGACCTACATTTTGACCTTTGACCTGCATCAAAGAAAATGTTTGTCTGGGCTCTATCTCCTACACTACTAGTCACTGGAACTTAAACTTGGGAGGATGGGTTCATCTTGGTGAGGCGATGTGTCATATAACAAAGTAGGTCACTCTGTCTTTGACCTTTGACCTGCATCAAAGAAAAAGTTTGTCCGGGCGAATCGAGCTTATGGAATGGTGCGGCGTCCGGCGTCAACTTTTTATTTTAAACAACTTCTTCTTAGTAACCAAAAGACCTAGGGTGATGATATTTGGCCAGAAGTATGCTAGGATGAAGGGCTACCAATTTTGTTCAAATAAATGACCATTATAAATGTTCAAGGTCACAGGGGTCAAATATGTTAAAATCTTTAAACAACTTCTTTTGAATAACCGAGATGCATACAGTAGGGTGATGATATTTGGCCAGTAACAGGCTGGGGTGAAAGGCTACCAAGTTTGTTCAAATAAATGACCTTGACAAATATTCAAGGTCACAGGGGTCAAATATGTTTAAAACCTTATGAATATATATTTGGCCAGTAACATGCTGAAATGAAGGGCTAGAAAGTTTGTTCAAATAAATGACCTTGATTTATATTCAAGGTCACAGGGGTCAAATATGTTTATAACCTTTTAACAACTTCTTTTGAATAACCGAGAGGCCTAGCTAGGGTGATGATATTTGGCCAGTAACATGCTGGGATGTAGGGCTACCAAGTTTGTTCAAATAAATGAACTTCACCTATTTTCAAGGTCACAGGGGTCATATATGTTAACAACTTTAAACAGCTTCTTCTGAATAACCAAAATGCCTCGGGTGATGATATTTTGCCAGTAGCATGCTGGATGAAGTGCTACCAAATTTGTTCAAATGAATGACCTTTATCCATTTTCAAGGTCACGGGGGTCAATTGTCTTAAAAAATCTTTAAACAACTTCTTCTGAATAACTAAGAGGCCTAGGATAATGATATTTGGCCAGTAACATGCTAGTATGAAGGGCTACCAAGTTTGTTCAAATGAATGACCTTGACAAATATTCAAGGTCACAGGGGTCAAATATATTTAAAACCTTTAACAACTTCTTCTGAATAACCAAGAGGCTTAGCATAATGACATTTGACCAGTAATATGCTGGGATGAAGTACAAATGAATGACCTTCGCCAATATTCAAGGTCACAGTGGTCAATTTATGTTTAAATCTTTAAATGACTTGTTCTTTATAATCAAAATGTCCAGGGTAATGATATTTTGCCAGAAGCATGCTGGATTGGAAGACTATAAATTCTGTTCAACCTAAAGTCGACATTCAAGGTCACAGGCGTCATATGTTAAAACTTTTAATAAGTTCTTATGAATCAAACACTGATATTCTGCCTGTAGCTGTATTATAGTCCACTTTTAAGATTACAAGTGTGACATTAATACCAGGTGAGCGATTCAGGCCCATTGGGCCTCTTGTTAATTGAATAGTAATTAGGCTATTTGTTGTTACAGATGACTCAGAACCAGTCCAGCAAGGTTTGTTTCTATATCTTTACCATTTTGTCAATCATGTCAAACTGAACTGTAAACCTTTTCCAATTCTTTGATATTAGAAAGTTAAAGACCATAAGAACAAGTTTGTGAACCACTCTTACATGCGATCATGATTTATTGATTTATGGCGTTTTATGGATTTGGACACACTGTGGCCCTCTCAGTATCTATAATCATGAACAGATTGAGTTTGAAATTTATAAGATTGAAAGCTTTAAGAAGATTGACAGTCACTATTAATTGCAAGACCTTGAAAGCTCTTGACAATTTTGATAATCCTTTTATTAGAGTTGAGCATCATTTTGGGAATCATTGTCCTTTGTTGATTTGGGTGGACGGTGTCTGATAAATATCTGGAGTAATTATTTACTAATTAACATCAAACTTTGTAAAAAGTTTAATTACCATGAAAACTTTGATAGGCTTGGCTTGATATCACTTAATTTGTTCAACAATAATTTTTCCAGTTATGAACACTTAATTCTGCTAAAATGTTATTTCTTCTTAATATGTAAAGTATTACCAGTATTTTATAAACTGCAACTTACTTGTAACTTTATAAACAAGGTTTAAATATAATAAAATCTTCAGATAGTCTGATAAACATCATTATATTGTAGTTAATGGAGAGTAAACATTTGTCACAATTGGTACATGATAGGTGTATGACATACAGCTACAGGGCAATGATGTTCAAGATACATTTTGTATAATTTGTTTACAGAGCAGTCTGTACTGGAATACATAATAAGAGCGTATGACTTTCTCAATGCTAAACATGGTGACAGAGACCGTCAGCGCCAAGAATTTGAGAATAACTGCAGGCATTATACTCAAGTGGGGAATGAGGAAAGCATTCAAGCTTGTCTTAACGCCTTGCAGGAACAGATTTGTGTCAAGAATTTCCCCCCACCACATTCAGTACCGGACGAGATGGTTGCCAATACGTTTAAACAACTTCAAAGTGTGATACAGTAAGTCCTTTGATCATGACCAAGTTATCATGTTGATTTAGATTATAATTAATAAAATACATTATTTTTTGTTATTTTTTGTACTTATACGGACGGCAAATTGAAGTATTTTTGCTACTTTCTATTTTGACTCGATCAACTATAGATCATCCAATAGTGATTGTTGTTTCATACAATTTCAAATTCCTAGAAATATCTTTAAATGTATGATTTATTTTGAATATCAACCCTTGGGGAAAGATTCTTAAGTCACCAAACATATGGCTTAAATTATTGTGAATCACAACCACGACCTACAAACTAGTTTGTGATAAAGCGGTATATAAGAACCTCAAATTATTATTATTATAAACAAGAGTCTAATACCTAAGAATCTCACCCTTGGGTTAAGATTTCCTTTCTCGTACCCAACCTGTTAATCTTCACCACTAATGCTCAAAACACAGTAAAAATGGATGATGATAATGACTTATTCTTCATGACTACTTACAGAGTGTGTATACGAGAGGGACGGGTCACACAGGAAACCTGTCAGGACTTGTTGTTTGAATTCCTCCTGAGTTTGTTACGGTACGGACCGGGATCGTCTGCCTCTTACTTCATTGGTGCAAGATTGATCAGAACGGAAAACATGGAGGAGTACTTTGAGGTAGACAAATACCAGTCTTCTACCAAACCAAGGGATGGACCAGACCCGAAGGCCAATCCTTGTATCATATCTGTATTAGATTTTTCATGCCCAGCAATTTATGTATTGTTATGGGGTGGGGATCTCAACTGTTTCCAAGGTGTGATTCAGAAACTAGGTCCCTAGAGTTGTGGCCAGACCACAGGATCAATTCTAATATCATGACTGCATTCGTCTTTTTATATGCCCAGCATTTGTATATACAGATTTGGGGTGGGGATCTCAACTGTTTCAAAGTTATGACCCAGGGTTTAAGTCTGCGAGGGTGAGGCAGACCCTGGAGTCAATTCTAATATCATGACTATATTCGTCTCTTAATGCCCAACAATTGTATATATAGTTTTGGAGTGGGGATCTTAACCGTTTCAAAGTGATGACCCAGGGGTTAAGTCTCCAAGGATGGGGCATACCCTGGGGTCAGTTCTTAAATCATGACTGCATTTGTCTCTTTATGCCCAACAATTGTATATACAGTTTTGGGGTGGGGATCTCAACCGTTTCAAAGTTATATTTTATGGCCCAGGGACTATGTCTCCAAGGGTGGGGCCGTACCCCCGGGCAATCCTGGAAGCATATGTGCATTTTCTTCATACTCAACAATTGTATATATGGTTATAGGGTGGGGATCTCAACCATTTCCAAGCAATAAACTATTTTTGACCCCACCCTTTAGCCAAGGGATCAGGCCCACTTAAATTGTACGCTTTGAATCCATGCCTCCCATTAATGCTTCCAACCAAATATGATTGATATCCAGTGCATAGTTCTACAGAAGAAGTCATTTATAGCAATACAGCCAAATTGCCCCCTTTTGGCCCCACCCCTCAGCACCCTGGGGGGTCAGCCCGTCTATTGGTATAATTTTGAATCCCCACTACCTAGGGATGCATCCAGTCAAATATGGTTGATATCAATCTTTATAGTTCCAGAGAAGAAGTTGCTGAAAGCAATATAGCCAAATAACCCTTTTTGGCCCCGCCCCTCAGCCCCCTGGGGGGTCAGCCCCACCATTTGTACACTTTATAATCCCCGCCTTCTCATGAATGCTTCTGACTAAATATGATTGATATCCAGTGAATAGTTCTACAGCAGAAGTCATTATAGCAATTTTAGCCAAATTGTCCCCTTTTGGCCCCGCCCCTCTGCCCCCTGGGGGGTCAGCCCCACCATTTGTATAATTTTGATTCCCAACTACCTAGGGATGCTTCCAGTAAAATATGGTTAATATCCATCTTTTAGTTCCAGAGGAGAAGTCGCTTAAAGAAATATAGCCAAATTGACCCATTTTTTTATTTTTTTTTAGGCTTTGAACAGAGAAGGACTTACCAGAATGATTGACAGTTTGAAGGAGTGGCATTATGTACATGAGGATCCTAAGAAATTTGTGGCCGAATCACATTCTTACTACTGGGGAGACTGTATCATCAAACTCATCAAAATCATCCTTGGGTAAGCAATTAACACTATATTTGTTGTAGATATCTCAGTGGATTGACCTGCATAAGGTTTGGAAATCATTACAAACTAATTCTATTTCAGTCATAGGAAAATTAGTAACATTTTATTATGTAGGTATGTTGCGAAAGGCACTGATCATGAACCATGGTAGGCATATTCAAGGATGCAGTGTGTTTTGTTAATCATTGATACAGTACCTACGGATGACATACTTGAAAAATTGACCAACTTATCACTTTTAGCTGAGCCCAAAATGTCTGCAACACACTGACAGACAAACTTCTTAGATTTATGATTGTTGTAAAATAAACGAAAGTATAATTTTAAGCTGCCAATGCTAGTTAGCCAGAAAACGTGTCTTCAGTTTAAATTGTATTTATAATGTTAAGTTCCCTTATAAGCTTTGTTAGGTCACCTGAGCTTTAGCTCAAGTGACCTATTGCTATCCGTTTTCGTCCGTCGTCGTCCGTCGTCCGTTAACATTTTACATTTCAAACTTAAAGTCAAGTTCTGCTGGGCCGATTGAACTGAAAACTGGTAGGAATGATCGCCTCATGGTCCTGACAAAGTGTTGTTATTTTTCGGGTCGATCAGAAATCCAATATGGCC